AAAAAAAAAAAAATATGATTTAAAATAATCTAAAAATTAAAATATCCAATCCCTACTGCTTTTATAAAATATCTCTGTATAGAATGAAAAATAAGATAAATTCTTTATATTATAATTCAGATAAAAATTTTAAATTATCGATATTATCAAATAATAACAGAGAGTCATACAAAATATTTTCTTTTGTTAGGGGCAACTTAAAACACTTTTGGAAGTTTACATACACTTGTTTTTTGATTTGGTTCTGGACTAAAGAAAGTAAATAACATTTTATTATCTTTGCTCTCTCCCTCTCTTGTGTAAATAGGTTTTTAAATTTTAATGATTTATTTCTTATCGTTATTTCGAACATTATTTAAAGTATTTACTCTGCTTGATCGTATTGGTTCCAATTCTTCTATTTATTATAATCTATTAATGATTAAATCTTGCACAGAGCTTTTATGAATCAACTTTTAATTTTCTTCTAAAAGTTCTTTAATTTTTGCTTAATATTGTGCATCAGATTAATTAGGTAAATCTATTAAATATTTTAATGAATAATACTTGAGTTTGATAGTGCAGATGAAGTCCAAATCTATGGTGATTTAGGTGACAATTATCTAGAAGGAGTTTGAATTGTTGATTCAGTTGAGTAAATACTTTAAGTTTTTACATTCTTTAATTAAAATTAGTTTTTATGTCTCATTAAGATGTTGATTGTAGAAGTAGATGTCTTCTTTAATCTTGAATTATTTTTATATACAAAACACAAATATTGAAATTAAAATATCTCAATTAATTAAATACAATGATCAAATTAAATATCTTTTTTTGTTGGAAGATATCTAAAATTCTTTATAAGTCTTCCACATTTGAAACTAACAAAATGAATCATACTAAAATGTTAAAAAGTTAATTAGAAAAGACTATCATTTAATAAATCATAGAACTCTAAATTTTATAAAATTTTAAAATGGAAATTTAATCTAACATATTTTATCATACTTTTTGTTGTTGCTTTATTTAGAACAATAAACTTTATTTAAGTAATTAATTCTTTCCTTTTTGATTATCTTCAATTAATTAATACATCTTTTGTTTTGATAAATATATCTTTTGAATTGAACATTCTGATAGATTAATTATTAAATAAGTTATTTGTAATTTATACAATTTTATATGTTTAGATGCTTCTCTTAATCTTAAGTTAATTTTTCAAATAATATTGGCTTTCTTTATGTTTAATTCAAGTCTAAACAATTTTGAATGATTTTATAGTAGATCTATTCTAAATTTAATTAATTGAATTCACTTATCTTATTTTTTAAGTAGTTATTCTGTTTAAATAATTATTTTAATTAGTTCTCTCTAATAAAGATTAAAAGGTATCAGTATTTTGGTACTAAATGATATTTTAATTTGTTATTAGGTTTATCATCAAGAGGTAAATGTAATTAATTTATGAGATAACATTATCAGGAAATCAGATGATTTAAAATAAATTAAAATCTAGTCTTTTATAAATTAACTGTAATTGAAATATAAAAGTTAAAGATAGAATTGATTATAATAGAATTGTATAAAGATTTCTAAAGTTGATTTGATAACTACTATTATATTATATTAATATAATTTATTATAAAGGAGAGTAAATTAAGTTTATAATGTTTAATAGTTATCAATACGATAAATAATTGGCATTTACAAAAGAGATAGATAAAATTAAAAAAGATTACTTAAAGTAAAGAGAGAATCGTAAAGGTATTGAAAAAAATTGAATTAGACCTTAATCAAAGATTATCAAAAAATTATAAGAAAAGAATAGAAAATTTTGTGATAAATATGTTGGAGAACCCAATTGTTTGTAATGAATACAAACCACCTGAGGCATATTAATTTAGAGAAGAAGATCCTACAAAAAATTTAGGAGATCCACAAATATATGTTAAAGGATTTAAGCATGAAAAAGATAGAATATAAGAAGCTTAAGAGAAGAATAATAATTTAGATTTCTTACCAAATTTAAAAGTAGGAAAATATTGCTTTAGAGAAAGAGACCCTTCAAAAGACATAAAAAGAGATGTTTTTAGATATAGAGATAAAACTGCTTTAGCAAGAATTGAATAATTTTTGAAAGATCATACATAATCTTAAGTAGAAAATATGAAACTTGATCATAAAAAGATTTTAAATTTAGAACACTTTTCTGAGGGAATGTCTTCATTAGAAAGAAAAGCATATTTATCAAGATTAATAGCAAAGAATTTACTACCATCATTACATAATAAGACTCATTTTTAAGCTGCACAAACCATGTATAATAATTTACCATGTAAAAATTAATAATAATATTTAAGTAACTCTAATGGAACATGCAAGATCTCTACCTTAAGTACATACATAAGAGGATAGCAGAAGGAAACCTCCTACATCTTAAGAAAAATAAAAAACAATATCAGTTGAAGCTTAAAATAAGTAAGACGATAATGGTAATTAACCAAAATAAGGTAATGAAACAGAAACATTCAATCCTGTTGAAACTTCTAAATAAATTTTAAAGAGATGCAATATAATTAAAGAAAGAAATGTAAAAGTAAAAAAAATACGTTTATTTAATAGGCTCCTGTTGTTCACTCTGGATCTGGACATTTAATTTCTACTCTTGATAAATCTATTTCAGAAATATATAAAGAACTTTATAAAGTTGAAATTGGATAATCCAAATTGCGATGAAAATAATTTTTATATATAATAAGAATATATAATTTTATATGTGGGAAATCAAAATAAAGAGAGAAAAAAGTTTACCTGAACCAGTTGGCTACAAAAAAGCATTTGATGATTGTCAAGGATAAGAATTGAGGGAAGATTTAGAAAAAGTAATTTAAATACAATAAACATTTAGAAAGCTATGGCTATAGCAAAGGGAGGATTTGGAAATATATTTATGATAATGTTCACATTATATATGACAGGAAATATGATGAATATATTTACAATTGTGATTATAGGATAATTTTTATGGCAAGCTATTTCAACTATTGCAAAAATGGATTAAGCATTTTCATTATTAGAGAATAGAGGAATTTCTTTATTTTTTTATAAATTGATTTATTTATCTGCAGGATTATTACAATTGGGTGTTGTGCTTTATAAATTATATAATATTGGTTTGCTTCCATTAAATAGTGCTGATTGGATTGATTTAGTTCCTTTACATCATGTAAATATCATTTTCATTAATTATTTAGTAAGAAGAGATTGTTGTACCATATAGCTATAATTGATTTTAAGTTAATACACATTTATACGATTAAAAATGTATTTGTTATGTTATAGTTTTATAAAATTTCTTATTCGAAAGTTTGGTATGAATTTCTAAAACTTAAATGAGTACATTCAATTCAACTCTATAATAAATGGTATCTAAANATCAAGATTAATAGCAAAGAATTTACTACCATCATTACATAATAAGACTCATTTTTAAGCTGCACAAACCATGTATAATAATTTACCATGTAAAAATTAATAATAATATTTAAGTAACTCTAATGGAACATGCAAGATCTCTACCTTAAGTACATACATAAGAGGATAGCAGAAGGAAACCTCCTACATCTTAAGAAAAATAAAAAACAATATCAGTTGAAGCTTAAAATAAGTAAGACGATAATGGTAATTAACCAAAATAAGGTAATGAAACAGAAACATTCAATCCTGTTGAAACTTCTAAATAAATTTTAAAGAGATGCAATATAATTAAAGAAAGAAATGTAAAAGTAAAAAAAATACGTTTATTTAATAGGCTCCTGTTGTTCACTCTGGATCTGGACATTTAATTTCTACTCTTGATAAATCTATTTCAGAAATATATAAAGAACTTTATAAAGTTGAAATTGGATAATCCAAATTGCGATGAAAATAATTTTTATATATAATAAGAATATATAATTTTATATGTGGGAAATCAAAATAAAGAGAGAAAAAAGTTTACCTGAACCAGTTGGCTACAAAAAAGCATTTGATGATTGTCAAGGATAAGAATTGAGGGAAGATTTAGAAAAAGTAATTTAAATACAATAAACATTTAGAAAGCTATGGCTATAGCAAAGGGAGGATTTGGAAATATATTTATGATAATGTTCACATTATATATGACAGGAAATATGATGAATATATTTACAATTGTGATTATAGGATAATTTTTATGGCAAGCTATTTCAACTATTGCAAAAATGGATTAAGCATTTTCATTATTAGAGAATAGAGGAATTTCTTTATTTTTTTATAAATTGATTTATTTATCTGCAGGATTATTACAATTGGGTGTTGTGCTTTATAAATTATATAATATTGGTTTGCTTCCATTAAATAGTGCTGATTGGATTGATTTAGTTCCTTTACATCATGTAAATATCATTTTCATTAATTATTTAGTAAGAAGAGATTGTTGTACCATATAGCTATAATTGATTTTAAGTTAATACACATTTATACGATTAAAAATGTATTTGTTATGTTATAGTTTTATAAAATTTCTTATTCGAAAGTTTGGTATGAATTTCTAAAACTTAAATGAGTACATTCAATTCAACTCTATAATAAATGGTATCTAAATATTATGTGATAAAAATTTCAAATGTCTTTTATTAACAACTAAAAAAATAGAGTTATAATTTATAAAAATAGTATAATTTAAATTAAAGTCAAATATATTCTCTAAAAATCAGAGCTTCTAAAATAAATTATCAATCTCTATTTATTTTTCTACTTTATTTTATTGTATATCCAAAATGATTAAAATAAAATATTTAATTACTTATTAAAAGTGTTTTCTATTTCAATAATTATCTAAAAAAATAAGTTTAAATAGGAATCTAAAATATGCTTATACCTTCTGTCATTTCAATTACTGTTTTTGGAATACTATTATTGAACAAAATAATCTATTATTTTTTATTCTAAAAAAAAGAATAATAATTCTATCAATCAAGATCAAACCAAGATATAAAGAATCTGTAAATAAATTTCATTTAAACAAAGTTCAATATAGATTTAAAATTAATATTAACAAACTTCTAAAATCGAAGATGAAATAAAAAAAGAAAATATTAATAAAACTGAAGAAATGAAAGTAATATTTAAATCTTATAATAAAAGGAATCTAAGATGATTACAGAACAAAATAACTAATTTTCAATAAATTAAGGAAAATCTATTTAGAATTCAGTAAGTAACTCATTAAATTCATCATATATAAGTGGAAATGAGGAAGGTAAGTCTAAAATTAAATGCAGATTGAGTGATTCTGTAAATAATAATTAAGAAACTTAACAAAATGACAAAATAGAATAATAATCAATTTAAAAATAAATATGGCATATCATAAGAAATTCGGATAAAAATTAAAATTTAGAACTATTTTTGACTGGTTTTGTATTCATGCAAGCTTTAGTGAGTAGGATTTATATTAAAAACACTTTTTAAAAAATTGAATTTCCTCAAATATTTTATTTAAGTTTGATAAATGCTTGTGTAAATGTGTTATTTTATAATATATTTTATGGATTGCTTATAAAGATATTTTAGATGAGGTAATTAGATACATTTTGGTCAAAATTAGTATTGAGTTTATATCATCTAGGAATGCCATTTTTTATTTATAGCGAATTGGATAATTATATCTAATTAGATTTTATAACAATATTGTTTGCAATATTTTATGGTTCATTTTTGCAAATACTTATTTAAAGAAATTTGGGTTTTTTTCCTCTGCTTTTAACAAGGATATAATTTTGAATGATATTTAAATATATTATATAATAATATTTATGATTGCTAACTTTATAATTTTAGTATATTTAGCATCATGGACATTATTTATTCTTTTGATGATATTAATAGGGTATCGATTGGATAAATCATATAAATTAGCATCAATATCTCCTTAACCTAATAATAAAAATCCAGCAGACACAACTTTTGCTATTCAACCAATTACATCTAAAATATAAAGTTAAACTAGAACATAATAGTTAACAAGATTTGAAAACAATGAGTTGGAGGATTTTTTTAATAATCCTGCAGATAATTCACCAAATTAAAATCAAGAGGATTAATTCTATGGTAATGGGGAGAGAAATATAACAGAATAAAATTCTCCAATTCGTTTAACAGTTGATTAAAATTAAGTGTCTTCTCCAAGAATAAACAGAACACCTCAAAGATCTAATACTTTAAGAAAGACAATTTTGAGAAAACCAACAATAGGTACATATGAAGGATTAGAAACTGTATAAACTACAAATAGAAGAAGTTTAAAGACAAGTGGAAAATAATAATCATAAATTTAAAGTGATAGAAGTAGCGCAGGGGATTTTACACCAAAATCGACAAATTAAAAATAATAATAATATAATTAACCTAAAACTTCTTAATTTAGTATTTTTGGAAAGATTGAAGCAATAAAAATTGATCCAAATTATTAAATACCTAAACCTGAAAATGATTTTTATGTATAAATTAAAATAAAAATAGAAATGTCATTAATTTAGTAAAATCTTTTATTCCCATAAAGAAGGGATTTCCAGAATATTTATGATCTTAACAATATATTTTCGATAATTGATTTGTTTGGATATATCAGGATTGCTTATACAGTATTTATCAAATCTTAATTTATGGATTATTGTTGGAATAACAACAAGCATAAGTTTAGTATTAAAAATAAGTGATTATTATGTAATCAAAGGAATTGTTCATCATTATGGAAAGTTAAAATATATTTTAATTTTTTTATGGATATCAAGCATTGGAATAATAGTTTGGCTATTAGTTTTTTTAAGTTTTGATAATTTATAATGGTTTGTTCAATATCTACCAAGTTTACTATTAGATTTAATAGTGATTGATCCATTAAAGTACTTTATGATAAAATATTGTTTGTAAGAACCAAAGAAAATCAGAGAACCTAAATCAAAGGTAGATGTTCTAAAAGTAATGCAATAAATTAAATGATTGTATTCATATTATTCGTATCGTAACTGTGTATAATTATAGATAATATATGTGAAGATAGTAGTTTATAGATAAAGTCTAAAGAGTATTTGTTATTATTATATCTAAATACAATACATCCTTATAAAGACTTGTCCATAAAGCTATTTACCAAAGTTAATGCTAATAATTTAGGATTTGTTTAAAATATTATTAATTCATATATCACCATTTCATCTTCTCCAAGATCTATAAATGTTAGATGATAATTACTTTTGAATAGGACCTCTACTTATCTTAAGAATTCCACTAGTTTATCTGTCATCGTTATTTTTATTATTCTATCCAACTAATTTAGCTGATAGTCTTCTCAACTTTTGAAAATAATTAAGAATACTTACACTTTTATCATCTCCATTAACATTAACAACCTCTCCATCAACTTTTGAAACAAATAACTCAGAATTATCTTATTTAAAGAATCTGATCAAACCAATTCCTTCAGGCTATAAATATATATTTAAATATAAATTACCTTGACATTTCCAAAATTATCTCTCTCTAATTTACACATCTCCATCGGTCCATATTATGAACAAAATTCCTATATTATTTAAATTAAGATATTTACTCTTAATCCTGTTTCTGTTTAATGTGGATCCAATCCTCTTACAATTACATTTGGTCTAGGTCCTTTAGATATAACTTCTCTATCTCTTTCTCTTTCTCTCTCTCTATTATTTGATCTCTATTCTTCTCTATTTCTAACTCTCTCTATATCTCTCTCTCTTTCCCTATCTCTATCTCTCACTCTATCTCTTCCTCTTTCTCTATTCTATTATCTTGGTCTATTTTAGATTCTATTTATTCTCTATCTTCTAACTTATCCAGTTGGTATTCTTCTAAATCTATTTTATCTTTATTATCCCTGTAATCTTTTCAAAAACATGTACTTGCTATTATTATTATCTTTATTGTATTTTTCTTTAATTCCATACAGGTCTTCTACCTCTATTTGATTAAAATCTATCTCCTCTTCTTCCTCTTCTATTGAATTAGTTATTATTTCTATTTCTATTCCCTTTCTATCCTTTTTCAAGATTCACATATTCCAACTCACTCATTTTATATTTAATTAATAATTTCTGCCTATATATTTCAACACACATTTATAATTAGAAATCATCAATCATCATCAGTATAAAAATCCAATTTTGAATTTGTAAATTTTAAAGATTATAACCAATAAGAGAAATGTTAAATAACATAAACAGCATTTTTTAATTTTTCAGCACTGCTACCAAATAATTTAAAATTCTTTTCTATTGTTTCTAACCCTTTATAAGACTATGGTAAAAATTATAAAATAAATTCATTTGCAATTAATAGCATATGTTCTCCATTTTACACATCACAAAACTCTTAATTTTATGTTACCTCTATTTTATATTTTAGATATATAACCTTCTTTAATATCCAATTACTTATTATTATCACCATTCTTCATTTCTTAATAATAATTTTATATTGCTTGATAACCAAAGGAATTCAAACATTATTAATAAAAAATTATGAATATAACTATCTTGTCAAATAAATATTATAATTACTTCTTTATATCCTTCAATAGATAACTTTGGACCAATCTATGTTAAAAAATATGCTAAAATTTTAGTTATATTTGTTTTTCTTAAAGCTTTATCCTTATCAAATGGTTCATTAGCAAGTAGATCAATAACTTGAGTTTTAATCTTTTATATAAAATATGTAATAATCTACTTTTTCATTTGTAAGATCTTTTATTTAATCATATATTCCCTAATACTCAGTACAATTTGAAAAAACAGTACATGGAAAATTTTAAAGAAGAAACATTTAAGTCTCTATTTCATTTTAAAATTTTTCAGTTTATCTAAAATTTCCTAAACTGTCTAAAAATGTTAAAAGTTCTTCTATAGTTTCCTCTGGCTCATTTTCACTTTCAGATTCTCCATCATCTGATTTAGCACTTTTTTTATCTTAATCTTCTTGCTTTTTACTATATTGGATATAAATACTCTTCTTGGTCTACCTCTTCCTGGTCTTTAATTTGCATTATTAGGTAATTAAGTTCCTTCAGGAACTTATGAATCATGTTTCTATCTTTGTTATATAAAAATTTAATACTTTAAATGAGTATATAAAGCAGCATAACTAAGATAGCTTTTACCACAACCACAAGTAAAATTTCTATTATCTGAATCATTTCTTTTTCTTCTTAATCTTGCCTAAACGGAATTCTCTTCTCGGTTGCCTGAATTTTATTAATCCATTATTTAATTTATATATTAAAATAAAATATTCATTATATATAAAATAGTTACAAAAATACAAATCATAAATTTCTTTTTCTAGTTCAATAAATTCACCAACCACACAAACAATAACTAAATTTTACTTACAATCTAAATTCCACAAAAAATAAAATTATTGATTCAAATTATTTTGAATTTTTTTTTTACATAACTTTGGCGAAAATTCATAAAAAATACAGGAAGTTAAAAATAAATCAATTTACAAGCAATTTTTCCTAATAATTTACACACATTCTTCAACTCCTGAAAAATTAAAAAAACTATTACGATTCTGGAAAATTGAAAGGCTAATATATGATTAATTAAAAGATAATAAATACTTATCAACCATCCAATTTGATTTCTAAAATATTAAGAAAGCCAAGATAAAATTTTTTTCAACTTTATATCAAAAATTCTAAAAATATATTATTAATTACATCATTCATTTTTAGTATACTACAAAATTTCATAAAATAATCATCATATTTATAACAATGAAAATTCATTTATATTTGAAGATATTCGATCTTATTATTAATAAGTAACTTCTTTAAGATTTATTCTTAGGTTCCCACATCAAATTTCATTAAGGGATTCCTATAAAAAAAATTGTTCTCAAAATTAAAATTGTTAAAATAACTCATAAGATTATGGCTATATATGGCTAAATTAATTGATATATTTTACTATTTCAAGAATTCCTAACTTTATATCATATTTTTCACTACATATATAGACGTCATATGAATTGAAAGTTTTTGTTCTTTTTTTTTACCAAAAAGATGATTGTTTATTAGATTACATAAAACTCTTTTCTAATATTGATTTCCACTTTAGAATATGAAATAAAAACAACCTTAATTAATCAGAAAGAATTTAATTTATTGAATTTCTATTCCATTAATCTATTGAAAATGATGCTTTTACTTCATAAAAAGCACCTCTTGAGGTTTATTTTATAATAATTCCTTTCCTTTTAGAAGGAATTAGATTTTTAATTATATTGAAATTTATAAAGATTATTGTCTAGGTACTTATAAATTTGTATTGTGTAATGAAAATTTATGTTTTAGAAGCAATTGCTTTATGTATATAAACTAATAGCATTTGAATTTAAAAATTCACTTTTGAAGATGACTAAACCTATATTAAAGATTACTCTACTTAATCAATATAATTATTAAATAAAAAAGTCAAAATCTTTTTTCGGCTAATGCTTATTACCTCCAACTTTCGCTGAATTCATTAATATTAGCCATAAATTCATCTTAATAACCAATTGGTGCTTTTTTAGGATCCTTTAATGGATTTAAATTTAAAGCTAATCCTACTACTTTTTTTTCATTCTTTATAATAGATTGTGGATCAACTAAAATTATAAATTATATGAATACCAAATGGAATAGAATCATCAGAGCTATATTTTTAGGATTCATCTATAAATTCAGATTACTCCTATTTCAATTTGCATGTTTCAACATTATCTTAACATTTTTTCAACATTTTTCGAGGATCAACTCCATGAGATCTAAGTGTATTCATTATTGAAATAAAGTTTTCTTCATTTTTAATTTTGATTTATTTCTGTTAATCTTCAATAACAGATTTGAATTTATCAAACTGAGAATTCATTTCTTAAATTTGGGATTTCAAAGAATTATTTTATCGAAGAAGAGATTCTATTTCTTTTTTTTAGGATTGTATATCGTTTCGAATAGATTATGCTAAGATAATAAAAAGTTTTTTTAAATCTGAAAAAATTGAGATTTTTAAGGATTACTCTTTGATTTCCATTTTATCAAGCAATTCTTAAAATGAGCTAAGTGAAACTTGATTCTTGAGATTTTAACATTCAGCAAATAAAAAGTTTTCAAGTATTTTAAACATAGGTTTAGGGGAAAGCTCTTTTTCAGGAACTATGAATGATGAAGCCTCTTAACAAGTGTTGTATTTTTAAACTTTTTAATTAATCTTTTCACTAACTTTTTCTTTAAGAGTACTAATTAAATAACTAGTAGAGATGTTAGAATGTGATCCTCTTAAAACTGTGAAAGTAATTACATACATATACTTTCATCTAATAATTTTTATTTAATATCTGCTCCTGCTTTGGATTAAAGTCGTTGATGTAAATTTGAGTTATAGTTACATGATTTATTTAACTTTTATTTGCTTGTCAAATTCAAAAGATCCTTGTTAGATGTTTAATGGCTATTAGGATGAGAGTACATCTCTCTAGAATAATCATTTGGAGTTTACTTTTTGTTAACATATTAGACTTACATTTTTACGTTATCGGTAGATTTTGGAAATCAATTAATCCATATGAGGAGTTCTATTCATTTTATTTTTTATATTTTATTAATTTTATGTTAACTAGCTCAATATATTCATCACCAAATACTTAAAAATACAGAAGTTCTTCTATGATGATGTCCTAAATTTATGGAACATCAGGTAGAGTATTAAAATGAACATTTAGTATCTCCAAATAAATCTAGAGTGATTTAATTGAGCGAAAAATTATCTTAATTATCGATAGATGAAGATAGAACATTGAAAAAGGAAATATATGAAGAAAAATTGAATTCAATAAATTAAAAGGCTCAAAAAGCATATTAAAATGACTTTAGTAGACTGCAAACATTATAAGAGCAATTAAATAAAATTGAAGAAACGTTAAGAAATGATTAAATTATCAGAAATGTAAAATAAATAAAATTTATTATTAGACAAATTCTGAAAACTTTTTAAAAAATAGTTTAAAAGAATAAGAAAAGAATGTTTAATAAAGTGTTTAAAAAGATAAAATTCATCGTAAGACATTTGAGATGAGATTAAAAAAATTGATAGATGAATAATGCTATAAAATGAGATTAGAATTGAGTAAATAAAATTAGAATAGAAATGAGAATCAATAATAATATAGAAATGAGATAGAACATAAAATTGAGAGTTTAAGTTAGGATGTAAGAAATGAAAAGAGAGAGAGGTATAATAAATATAATAAAATTGTAGAGAATCGATTTATTAAGAGTTTGTAAGAAGAATGGGAGAGCAAGTATTTTAAGTATCAGAAACTTTAAATTAAGAAAAAAAGTAAAGATAAGAATCACAGAACTAGATGGAATAAATGATATAAGAGATAAGCAATATTCTAAATCTGTAATTGGCAGAAGAAAAAATTTAAAGAGATGAGACTGAAAGAACAATGATTAGACTTTTAAATGAAACATGTAATCGGGTGGAGAATTCCCTGAGAAAATGATATTTAATTATATAAATTTGTTTAAAATCATTATGATTGACTAATTATATCAATAATCATCTTCATCAATTTCGTTTTCTTTCTCTTCTTATTCAATGACACGTTATTTCAAAATATAAAACAATCTGTCTTCTCCTTTTTTATCCTCTTCTCCTATTATTTACTAATTTCTTCTAAATCTATAATCTCATACTATCATACATACCCTCTTAATGATATAATAGGATTTGATTCGCAATCAGTTTAATATGCTCTTTTAGATTTTTTTTAATTTTTTATTAACTCTTAGAAATATTTTTGATCAATTTCAGAAACAACACTATAATCAGGTGATCTAGGAATGTTTTCTTCTGTATTGTCTAATGAATCATCAAATTACTTGTTTATTTTTTTATTTAATTTCTTTTAGCTTTTTCTCTATTAAATTAAACTATTCATACCAAATCTTATATAACATCCACATATTGAGGATTATTTTCATCCAAATTTTTTTAACTTGATGCTTTTTTTTTTATTTTTTTTTCTGCCTTTTCAGGTTCAGATTATTTTTCCTCTTTTTATTCTTTATTTAAAAGGTATAAACAAGAAAGTAGACTAATGCCAAACAATATTTAAGGAGTTGATTGTTTAATAATTGAAAAAGACGATGATATTTTGTGCTGAAAAACTTATATTAATGTTTGCATTTTATTATTAATTATTAAAATATGCTATCAATTTCTCAAACATAAAAATCATTATAAGTTCACTCATAAAAGCTATTACATAGATAAAACTTATATTCTAGAAATAGAACTCTTGATAATGTTGAAGCAAATAAATTAAGAGCTAAATATATCATTCATGATAAAGAAAGTTTGTATGAAGAAATTTAGAAATTAAAATAAGAGAACAATTAATTGAAATTAACACTGAGATAGTTTTAATCATAAATTTAATATTTTAAAAGAGAAGTGTAATCAATATCAAAGGATGAAGGAACACCAACTAAAAGTTACTCTAGATTAAAATAAGGCTATTTAGAAAAGATTTCTAAACTCGAAGTATTTTTGTTTTCTTAAATTTTAGGATGAAAATATCAAATTACAACAATAATTAGCAGAGTAATAATAATATATAGGATAACTATAAAGTCCATTAAATAAAAATAATGTTGAAAATCTATGTATGTCTCTAAGTGAAGATAATATGAAACTGAATCAATTGATTTAATAACAAGAGTAATCAGTTAATTAAGCCTAAGTATAAAAATGAATGAAATTTAGACTTAATTCAATAAGATGAATGTAAAATATAATGCAATTTTGAATAAGTATAAATAGTTGAAAAACTTGAATGCTTAATTACTTCTAGAAATAGCAGAATTAAAGAAAAAGGATACATTGTTTCTTGAAAGACCTTAATAGAAAGACAATAAAAAGGTTGAGGAATAGTTATAATTAGATTTTGATCAAGCTCTTGTTGATTTAAGAAATGAGAGATAAAAAAACAAATACTTAGAAAACACGATGTAGAAATTGTAAGCCGAAAATTAAGAGTAAATTGATAATCTCGAAAAAAAATTAACTGATCAAAAGAGATAATATGAAACATTATAAAGAGAATATGATTTAGAAAAAATTTAAAAATATTAATCAAAAAGAACAATAATCATAAAAAATAATGGACCATAATAGCCAGAAGAATAAGTATAATAACAAGAAGAAAATGAATTATAAAAGAAGAAAATAATAAGTGTTGATAAAAATGAGATTATGACAATAGCTAGATAAGTTAAATTGAATCTAATAGGATTAAAGATATCACTCTAATAAGTAGAGCAATATCTATTAACTCATGAAACCTTAAATTAACATCAATTAAAATAGAACTTGTCTAATAGAATATTTGGTCTCTAATCTCTAGAATAAATAGAAATGGCAGCCATTTATTTAGCAGACGTTGAAAATGAAACAGAAACAACTACAAGTGCTAGAGTCAAAAGTATTTTTAAAACCTTAATGGAAAATTACTAAATATTGACATCTTCACAATTAAATAATATTAACTAATAAATCATGAAGAAAAAAAATGAAATTTCAGATATATTAATAAAGAAATATCCAGAAACATATACAAATGGATATTTAAGTATAGATGTAATTATTTTAATAAAAATATTTTTAGATTTATCTAGAGGTTTTATAATAGGTGGAAATTACATTAAATAAATTAGAAATCGATCATTTCTATGCTCTTATTACTAAATAAAATAGACAACAAAAAATTTTGCTTTAATAAATTCATAGTCCTTTTGATGTTAATTAGGTTGAAGAAGAAGCAGACCAAGATGATTAAAATCAAATAAATGATTTTAATAATGATCCATCAAAAAATGAAGGATTATCTATTAGTGGGGTTCATAATAGATAAGTACAATAATTAGTCATGTTAAATGAAAATGAAGAAGAAATAAAGAAAAAAAATAGTTTAATTCAATAAGAAATGAAAAATAGCCAAGATTACGTAGAGAACGATAGAGATCAAAATTTGGAGTTATCAAATATGGAAGAACAATAACCAAAAGATGACAAAAATCTTATTTAAGTTATACATAATGGGGATCCAGATTAGAAGATGAATGATTCGTAAGAATTAGGAAAATAAAGTTAACCTGATTTATAATAATTTTGAATTTAAATAATGGATAATCGATCAGAGAAAGAAATACAAACAAACTTATTGATCGATTCAAAAAACAACATGATAGATTGATTAAATTATACAATATAAACCAAGTTCTTAACAGCCAACCTCTTATTTTATAGAAATACCTACACATGCTTAAATTATTGATCAATTCTTTCCTTATTTAGTGAAGAATCTTCAAGAGATTTACATAAATAAAGGATCTGTCTTGAGTATATAAGAAGATTATTAAAAACTTTGAAGACCAAGTCCAAAAATTAGAAAAAAAAAAATATAAAAGATTAAGGATACTAAAACCAAAATTGAATTTAAAAGTTTATTTTATCAGATCACCTTCAAAGACTATACGAAAAAAAGCTACAACTTAGACATTTATAAATAAAAGCTTTAGAATAATTAAATAAAATGTTTCTAAATAAATTTAATAAATCTTTTTTTAGTAAAAAAGAAGTCAAAGATCAATTTAGAGAAATATTTAAAGTCATAAATAACAAAATTCAAATTTGCTTCTTTTAGAGAATAATTATATTGTTGGAAAATATATTTTGTATTACGACGATTAGAAATAATTAAGAATAATAAAATATATAACTTACAGATAAAATTTAAATAAAATCTAATAGTGATGAATAAATAAAATATTTTGAATAACTTAAATAAGATGTAATTAGTATCAATAACATTAGATTGATATTGAAAGGAAAATAACATGCTTATTAATCATAATTAGATCAAACGAATAATAAAATCAAAACCATCAATTTTACGATGAGGATTTTCTCAATGTAACAAATATACAAATATAAAATAAATTGAATAAAGTTCATATTCATTAATAAAGTACCCATTAAAAGAAATAAGATCAAGTTACGAAAAAAGAAAAATTAAGGATTTAAGGAGATATCCATTCTTTAATCGAATGCATAAGAAATTTTGATAAAGAATTCGGCGCTGTTAATAACTACTTTTATTATTTATCTTTTAATAATTATTTATGAAAAAAAATGAATGATTCATTAAGGTAGTTTAAAAAATTTTAGGTAATTGTTTTAAACTCAAGCATTAAGTTTTGAAAAAATTCAAAATTAGTTGAAAGTCAGAGGATTTATTTTGAGCCTAAAAATTGAATCTTTTATATATTTGTTAGTGAAATTTTATTTTTCTAAATTTTTTATCTTCTCATAAATTAATAATTAAAAGGATACTAATTTTAAGTCTAAAAATAAAGAATTTCAATCAGTTTTTTAGAATAATAAAGAATAATATCAAAATTTGATTACAAAAGAATCCATTTTCAAAGATAATTTTTGACCTTCTTTTCAAAATAGTATTTAGGATTAAGAATTATAATACAAACTAGTTTTGTTTTAGTTTAAAATTATCTATACAATTAAAACTTAATTAAGAAAGAATATGTTTTTACAGATATATAAACATTAAGTGATTAAATGTATTTCTAGGAAATATTTATTTTTGAGTGTTTCTACCTAATAATTTTTCAATCAATACTCAATATTGTATTTTAAGAATCTATGATTCATTCTATGTTTGTGGCAATTAATTTAAATCTATATTAATTTTTACAATACAAATTGTTAGGAAATTTATTTATTACTCTCAATTCACAATTAATTATTCCCTTAGAGAAAATTTTGTTGATTTAAAAGTGTGTAGTTTTAGAATTAAAGACAAAGTCTAAATTTATTGAGTAAGCCGAGCATCAGCCTTCAGTTTATCAATAAAACTTAATAAAAGTTAAATTTGAAAGGTTTTAAAAAGAATGAAACTAAGGGCTTAATTAATATCTGTCAAATACAAACCTGTTATTAAAATTAAATAAAAATATTACATGTAAAAGTTAATTTTAAAAAAGGGTTCTTGGATACATTCCAATATGTTTAATTTATGTATCATAAACAGACAAATATTTTAATATATAAAATATAATAATAGTCGTCAACAGGTGATCATATTTATTTAACATTAATAACTATGTCATCCTGATTTAATTCGTTATGGTCTGAGAATGATAGTTGATTGTCTTTGTCTTTTTCAAGATTTGGAACAATAGTAGCTTATTCATTAATGCTTAATTTAGGAAATACTAAAATTTGATTTGGATGTCTGTAACAAGTAAATCTAATATAAAAATAACAAATACTATTTATTATAAGATTTGCCTTTTTCTTTTATTTAAACATGAATAAGAATTCGACCTATTTGATAGAGAACCTTTTATGGGTATTGTAATTAATATTTGAGTAATTTATCAGATTATGCATATAAAAGTGTTCCAAATTTGGAGTTGTTATCTTATAGAAGCAATTTAAATTTATTATTTTCTGATTTGATAACTTTGATAAAAGCATGATTTCTGGAGACTGAGATATCTTTCAATTTGATATCACAATCAGGGACTCTGCCAATTTTAATTTATGATTTATCAAGTAATTCCATGACTTAAATAATACCTTCTTTAGATTTATCATCAGATGTTATTTTCCATATCATATAAGGAACTACTGGCTTCTGTATTTACATGATGCAAAATATTTGACCTTAATAGGTGTAAGTACTTTGAAGTGTCATTTTACATATTTCACATTCCATTTTCTTCCAAATATATTAGATTGAAGACTATTGGTTTTTAATTTTAATTGATTACTGAATCCAAATTTATAGACAATTAAGATGGACATATTTCATAGAGCCAATACCTGAAAGAATAAATGATGATAATTACATTTACAAGGACTAAAAAGAGGGTTAGATATAGAACCACTCTTAGAGAAACAAATTCTGCATTAACTAGCTTCCAATTCTAAATCTTTGGACTGCAATTCATCTTCATTTTCTATTTATTCTTTTTACTATAAGACTGTATCAATTTCATATTTAATCTCTAGTAGCTATAACTTCATTCTTCCTAATTTAATCATATCTCCTTTCTAAAGTTCCCATTCCTTACTTAAGTAGATTAATTACATTTAATGATTCAAAATCAGGCCTATTACATAAAATAGCCCATACTCTTTATTCTTATTTTTGGCTCATTCCAGATAACATCATATATTCTTATTCACAATCTACTCTCAACAATTGGATCTGTTTATTTACATATTCCTGTTTTATATTTTTGAGAATTTTATACATTATCTGTCAACGCAATAATTTAATTATCAACCATAGAAAGGGTAGCTAATTAACTAACTCATAACTACCTGAGAAATCTAATTCTATATCCTTTTTTACTACTTAATTACTCTCAAAATCGAATAAATTATGGCTTTCCTTATTCCAAATAAACGCAGTTATACAAACTCTATCAAAACATTCATTCATTTATTTACTTATAGGGTACTATCTATACATTCTCATCCACTTTTTTTTTTGATGTGCAAATCCCCATTATAATATCGATAATTATTAATAATAATAAAAAATGTTATAATAATCACAATAAATTGATTACTTATATATTCCAACTAGTAAGAATTTATAATAATTACTAAAATAATCAACCTTTGGACTATAGGTAATATCTAAGCAACTCATTTAATCAAATCATAAAATAGGAATTATGAGTTTGCACTAACTAATAATGGCTTTTTTATAAAATTTGGACCTAGAAATACTAAATATTGTGATTTGTTAAATAATCTTTATATTCTAATTTATACAGATTAGTATTTTACAATTCAATCTCATGACAGATCGAAAGAATACTAAACTCCTAATTAGAAATAAACAAAGATTTGGATAGAGTATTTGACAAAGTTTTGTATTTTGAGAGGAGAAGTCTATAAAAGATTTAAGTTTGTCAACTAGATTAATAATGGAAATTTTTCAAAAGTATAACAATACTAAATTTTTTTTAGGGTTATTTAATAGAGGACAATAAGAATCATTAATTTGTTTGTAAATCATTTTAAAAGGCAGATCTATAAAAAATGGTTAAACTTAGAGATTCTGTGATTGGTGAAATATTACTTTTAAGATAAGTAAATCATCCAAATATTATTAAACTTTTTGAAATTCATGAAGATTCTAAAAACATCTATTTAATTTATGAATGGGCAAGAGGAGAATTATTCTAAGAATTTTAGAAAACAAAATCAAGCAAATCGGATTTTACTGAACAGCAAGTCAGTCACATTATGAGATAAATCTTTTTAGCCTTAAGTTATATTCATTCCTTAAATATTATTCATAGAGATATTAAATTGGAAAATATTTTACTTAAAGATCAAAGTTCTATATTTTAATTGCTGATTTTGGTTTAGCTGCAAAAAAACTACCAAAATTTGAATATAAAAAATATGGTACACCAGGCTATATAGCCCCTGAAGTATTAAATATGAAGGTCTATAATGAAAAAATTGATGTTTTTAGTGCTAGTGTTGTAGCTTATATATTATTAACATAAAAACCAGTATTTTCAGGGTCTACAATTAGTGCTATTTTAAATTATAATACAGCTGGAAAAATTGATTTTGAAAATTCAAAATTTATAAATCTAAGCAAAGATGCTCAATTCTTTTTAAGAAAAGTGTTATCATTATAAGAAGAACAACGACCCTCTGCATCTGATTGTTTAGAGTCCTCTTTTTTAAAAAATTAATTCTAAGTAAATGAAATTGGAATTCCAATAAAACCTAATTTAGATGTATCTTTTTTATTTGAAATTATTAGATAAGATTAAGTTATCTAGGTTCAAGTGTTTTACCTCAATAAATAAACTTGACCAAAGCAAAGAGAAAATCAATGAGACAATATATTTTATTAAAATAAGCAATTATTACTGAAAAATAAAAAGCATAATTAGTGCAATAAATAGCTGAGTAATAAAATGAAGAAGAGGATAATGAACAATTAATAGTTCAAGAGAGTGTCAAAAATGTATATATTTAATTTTCATTTATAGATAGCTGGATCCTTTTATACAGAGAAATAATAGTCAAATTCTAATGATTTAGATGGAGACTCTTCAGGTGAAAGTATGAACGGATCATTCTCTAGTAGTGAAGATGATTCTAATTTTTTTCTAGAGGAAGATGTATATTAAAATTTATCATCAAAAATAACACAATTAGGTGGCTTATAAATTAAAATTAAGAGATGAGTTTAATCTGATATTTAAGTAGTTGTTTTTTGTGTATAAAAAATTTGTTTAATTATTAAATCTAAGTATAAGAACCCAAATAAATAATTGACTTTATTAAATTATAAATGAAATCATAATTTTTTCTTCTTTTTTTTCATTAAATTTACCATATTTTTTTCCCAATTTGGAGGCAATTTAGGTTATTATTTTTCATAATCAGGTAGATTTGTCATTGCACATTCTAATCGTTTCTCAAAATCTTTAATTTCATCTATTCCTTATTCGCATTAACTATATGTAAGCCAATTAGTCATTAAGTCTTGGTGAGTGGTAATTTTTGGTTTAAAGTATTAGAATATTGGTGAACAAAAATTTTGATCATTTGATTGATTGAATTTATAAATCCTGCATATATCTCTTAATACTAAATTGATCTTATTATCCTGAAATATTCTATCCTAAAATTTTTGTCGATGGTATTCTTGAATCTTATAATTATAGTAATTAAAACTTTAAAACTATTGCTCATTTGTTAATACTTCCCTAATTCTAATGCAATATTTTAGATTCTCATCCAATGACCATTCACTTATTCCAAATAACATTTTGCAGAATCATAATCATTATAACTATATGTGTATAAATTGTTTTGTACTGTCTAATTGTTAACAAATTATTACATCTAAATAATTTTATACATACAGTTCCATTAGGCCATTGAGTTCATCATATGGACATTAATCTATTTTATCTTTCACATTTTCGTAGCATTCACCTTAAAAGTATAACTCTTTAAATGCTTAATTTGCTTAATCCATTTATAATATTAAAGTAATAATGAAATCTCAAGGAAGAATACTATTAGATAAAATGAGTGGTTGTTAATTAAACATTAAGTAGAATTAAAAACCATCGACCTAGTTTAAGTTAATGGTATTAAGATATCATTGGAGCTTAGCAATAAATAAACTACAAAAAATAATAATCAAAAGATGCTAGTAACCCTTATTAAATCTTTAAGAAGAAAGCATACATATGAAAAAATCTAGATCTCAATAGCCAAGTCTATTGTTTGTGAATAAAAGGTTTTAGCATCTTCGATATCATTCTTAAAATAATGAAGGATAAATAGAATCTCAAAGCGAAGAAGAATTAACACCAAAAGGATAAGAAGAACTTGAAACCACTTAAAAGAATAGCAATACTAACGAGAAAGAGCCTAAAGCTGATAAAGTTTAAATTGTGCAAATTTAAAACGACTTTAAAGAATCAGCATATTTTCGCGCATAAAGTAGTCTTGATTAATTGAAATTTAATGAAGAATTTTTGGATTTGTTTAAAAAATAGAAAGAAGCATGTCATTTCGGTTATTTATGTAATTTCGAAATTAAGTTTAGCTAAAGAGAAAGTAAAAGAATAAGAAATTCTGATAAAAAAAATATTAGACAGTAGACCCAGTAAACCTATACCAGATATCAAAACCTTTCTTTCTCTAATAAAGAAACCTCAAGTAGAAATTGAACATAGCAAACCAAAACAATAATAAGAATTTGTACTGCATTTAATATTTGCAATATTTTTATTGATTTTTGTGAGTATATTTATAGTCATGTGATATTAATAATTAAATATTATCATAATTTGATAACAAATAATTAAATAATGCAGTGATGTGATAATAATAATTAAATATAATAATGGCGTGATTCAAATATTTAATCATTATAATTATTTCGATGTGATAATTATAACTTAAAGATTAAAATAATGTAATTATAAATAATTTTGAGATTATATATAAATAAAAATTTAAATCATAATAAAAACAATATGAAAAGTATATTAAATCAATCATTTTCTAATGAATTAAAGATTGGCTGGATTGTGTGTTTGAATTGATAAAAAATACTCATAGGCTTCTTCTAATTCTTTTTCTGCAGTAACTTTGAACTAGCAATGCTAATCAATTATAATATCAAGAGTTAGAAATTTGGTTAGATATTTAATGCATTTGGCTAATTGTGTGAATTGGAATCCAAATACCAATTCTATGAATGGTTTATAAATATGTTGAAAATCTAAAATATCTCTATCTTATAGTTTATTTTCAACTATTCTTGAATAAGTAGTTCCAGAATATTATTTAAGTAAGACCAAATAAAGAAGCGATGCGACTATTTCTCTATTCGAGAATTGATACAATCTGACATCTAGAATAGCACAATCAAGAAAGGTCATATAATGTCTAAATAAAGTGTAGGAAGCTTATGTAGGTTATTTGATTTGAAGTTTAGGTTGAGGATAATAAATGTCCCATTGAGACAAATACCAAGTGCTCCAAAGATATAGAGTAGGGGGATTAATAAGCCACTTTAATTAAGTGAGTATTTCTTATTCTTTTTCAATAATTTATTATTCTGTAAAACTATAATTACTAGCTTAAGAGAAATCATTGATTTTTGGAGGATATATTTCCTAGAATAGATGTAGATTTTTACTTCTATTTTACATGCAATAGATAGACTAGCTAAACCAAATAATTGAAGTTCTTATTTTGAGATTTAAATTTTAGACATATATCTATCTAGATTATGTACACAAAGATGAAAGGTTTCTCTTTTCAAAGTGAATTCTTTACAAACTTCACTAATCCAATCAAATAAAATAGATCTCATTAGTGGAGTGATATTTATTTGATGTTCAAAAAAGGATGGATGTACTTTATACTCTAATTCTTTTTAGTAAAGTAATCTAAGTGTAAATTCATCAAAAATGCTTTCTTAGTTATAATTAATTTCTATTTATTCTTCACAGACGATGTCTATTTTTTTTAATTTAGTTCTCTATTGTTGGGTTGTTCTTTTGATAAGTTGACTGATTTATTTTCTAATGTCTTCTGTGTTAGTATTTTAAGGAGTTTTTTGCTTCTATGTTTCATTAATATTCATATTTTCTTTATTCTTGAAAGTTCCAATAGAAGCCTTTCTTATGGTGACTTACTTAGGTGAAGGATCTAGAATAGCGATGGCACTTAAATTCTTTCTTCTTGCATCTTATATAATTAATCGACTTTGTAGTGGTTGCTTCATTCAAATTTAAATAACGAAAATAAACATAATTTACTTATGTATATTATAATCATTTAGATTGAATTATTCTGCTCTCTTATTTAATCCAAATGAGTTATTAATCCTTTGAATATGGTGAAATGCATAAACCAATATGACTAGACGATTTTCCTAATTTACATGAACCAGCTGTATTAATCGAAGGAGCAGGTCTGTATGGATTCATTCTATTTGGCTATACTTTTTCATCATATGTAAATTACATAATCAAAAAAGCAAACCGTATACATTAAGAATTTATCTTTTACAGGAGTCAGACTTCTCCCACATCCGACTTAAAATAACATAGATTGAAGTAATTATTAAGCAGAGTTTTAAGATTACATCCATTCATTTAATACGAATTCTGCATCCCATTCCCATTTTTAAGTATGAACTATCAATTTATGAATCATGAATGATGTTAACCCTTTCATCTATCTTATTGATAATTGATTATTTACATTTCTACAAAAAATCGGTTATTCTGGACATGTATCACTACATTCTTATGCCTTTTTAGCCATATCTTTAGACCAACTTATCATATGCATATCTGCAGCACATTCAATTTAACCTTTATGATTTGCTCTTCTTCCCATTGCCACTTCATTTCGAATCCGATTCAATAATTATTCAAATTATGAAGCTTATTTAGAACTTATACCTTATGCACTAATGTTGCATTACTTCTCTGGCAATTCCAAACTTAAACTTATTGATAACAATATTACTTATATTAACATAAATTATAAATACCTAACCATTTAATATTATAATCTCATTATTTTCATCAGGACTCACAAATATTTCTATTCCCTCATTTTAGACATTCCCTCTATTCTCTTTTTTATTTCTATCAATATTAATCTAAATTTCAATTTTACGATTTTACTCATCTTCTGGTTTATTGAATTTCTAACTTAGATATCACTTTTACATTTCTTAATTTGAATCTTCAATAGCACTTTTTATTTATTGAAAGACCTTCCTAATATATTTATTTATTTACTCAATTTTAGCACTTACATTCTTATCAAATATATCAATCTCAAAATTCATTAACGAATTAAATCTACCCTTACAAGGAAACTTGATTTAGAATTCCTTAAAATTATACTATTCTTCATAAATATGTTATTTCCCATTTTAATCTCTACTTTGCACTTTTTCTTTAGATTCCCAATATATAATTTAATATTATTTTAGTATTTAATTTTTAATTCAAATTATAATTTATCATTTAATAATTCTGATAGTTAATAAATAATAATATATTTTGTAATATTCATAATTTTTACATAAGCTTGACAAAATTTTCTTTGTTAATCATTCCTTACTAATCAGAATCGCACTTTCTTAGTACTTCTTCCCAATGAGTTTCATCTATTATTATTCCTCCTAGAACATCCTCGAGATTTTACTTTTTTATTAAACCATCATTATCCAAATCAAATTATTTAAAAGCTTCCTCTAATTTGTTGGTTTTGGCTGATAATTCTTCCTTTATCATTATACTCAGGAAAGCATTATATTCAATAGATCCAGTTTTGTTAAAGTCACATTACTACATGATATTATCTACTTATTTTTCAATTTCAGTTTCATCTAATTTAGATTATTTCAAACCAAAGATCAAATCCTCTCTATTTATCCTACCATCTCCATCCTTATCTAATGATTAAAAATTCCCTAAAATTTTTTCCTTATCCTCAGGCGTTAGAACCTGATAAGTAATAAATTATCTAATTAATTCTTATATAATATGAGATTACTAAAAATAAATTTCCTATTAATTACATAAAATTATTATAAACGAGTTAGAGCCCTTGAATCAATAGTATTATTTATATGTCCTTATAACCAAGGATCTAAATATGCTTCCTCTGCAGACAATCGCTTATCTGGATTATATGTCATAAGCTTCTTAACAAATGTTTTAGCTTCTGAAGATATTTTTGCCCAATCATTTTTATCAAAACTCCACTTATTACATTCGATCAATATTTGAGTAGCTCTTGCATCATTCCCATTAAAAGGTAGATACCCACACAATAAAGTATATAAAATCACTCCACAAGACCAAATATCGCATTTTTCAGTATACTACTATTTAAACACCTCTGGAGCAGTGTAATGAGGCTATTAAATTATTAAAATATAACATTACTGTTCCTAATTTAGATGTAAGATATTTTTCTTAAATGATTTTTCGAGAAGTGCCAAAATCTATAACTTTTAAAACTGGTTTTTCTGAATCACCATTGAGCATAAGGTTGTCTAATTTTAAGTCACGGTGAACTATCTTTGCTTTATGGCAATATTGCAAAGCAGATAAAAGCTATCGCATATAATAGGCAGCTTCTGCTTCAGAGAAAGTATTTTATGCTTAAATTTTTTTAATAAGTTCTCCTCCTTTTATAAGTCTAAAAATGATTGAGATATCAATTACTCAGTAATTAAATAATAGTTTTAAGCATCTTCAAATAGTTCAAAAAGTTTAACTATATTTGGATGATCTAATTTACGAAGTATATTGACTTCTGCAAACATTTTTTCTTTTTCTTCATTTATAATCTTTTTCTTAGCCAAAGTTTTTAATGCTCTGATTTATCCACTTTATTTATGAGTGGCTGAAATGACTTGTCCAAATGCTCCAACTCCAAGAACATCACCCAATATATAGTAATTGTCAATCTAACCATTTTTTAAATTGATGTAAAGATCAGTTCCATATTTAAAACTGTTACCAGTGTGTCTACGACCAGGGCTGCTTGGCCAATGTTTAGGTTTTAAGGCTAAATCATCTTTCTGCTTTTTAGAGGCACATATTCCCATTTTGTAAAAAATAAAATTATAATACGCATTATTAATCATTTTTATTGGTTTTTACGCTGGGTTTTTCTAAGGGTTGAATCTAGTTCTTTTTTTCTAATTCTAAGATCTTTAGGAGTAACTTCAACTAATTCATCATCTCTTATATAAGCAATGACATCTTCAAGACTAAATACTTTAGGTGGGAACAAACTTATTTTTTCATCAGCTAATACTGTTCTAACATTAGTTAATTTTTTTTCTCTAATTGGGTTAACTTCAATATCCTATTCTAATTTATGTTCTCCAATAACTTGGCCTACATAAACTTTGGATCCTGGTCTTACAAACAAAGGTCCAAATTTTTAAAGATCTTCAAGAGCATAACCTTAACAAATTCCTGCAGCCATTGATATGATGGCTCCTTTTAAATTCTTTTTTAAGGTTCCTCTAAATTCTTGATAGCCCAAAAATTATTGTTACATAATAGCAGTTCCTCTTGTATCATTAATTAATTCTGCTCTTAAACCAACCAAGCCTCTAGTAGGTGCTGAGAATATTAGCTTAACTCTAGTTTTATCAATATTTATGCAATCTTCATAAATTGCTTTTCTTTATGACATCTTATCAATCAAGCCAGTCATATATTGTTAATCAATCTCTATTGATACTTTTTCTATTGGTTCTAATGTTTTCCCAGTATCTGGACATTTCTATGTGACAATTTGAGGAGGTGATACTTACATTTCAAATCCTTCTCTTCTCATATTTTCAAGTAATATAGCAAGATGTAGATCTCCTCTACCCAACAATTATACACAAGCACTATCATCAGATTTATCTTTAACCAAAACTTATAATGCAACATCGCTTTATCCTTCTTTTAATAATCTATCCTTAATTTATTAAGCATTTAATTTGGTTCCTTCCTTTCCTGCCAAAGGACCAGTATTTACTCCAATAGATACTGAAATCATTGGTGGATCAATAGGAATGGATGGTATAACTTCATTTTTACCCATTTCATTGAGAGTATTAGTAACAATAGCATTATTAAATCCAGCAACTTATACAATATCACCAGCTACTGCTCTTGCCATTTCTAATTATTGCATTCCATATCTTCTTAAAATTTTTAAGACTTTAGCAGTTTCAACTAATTTTCCTTTTTAATCAACTGCTAGGATTTTATCATTAAGTTTAACTTCTCCTTGATGTATTTTGCCAATTAATATTTTACCATAATAAGGATGACTTTCTTATTAAGATACTAACATTTTGAAATTGGTTTCATTTCCAATTTATGGTGGTGGAATAGTTTCTACAATAGTTTCTAAAACATCTTCTAATCCTTATTTATCTGCTTCCATAGATCCTTTTCTAACCCAACCTTCTTTCCCAGAACAAAAGTATAATGGATAATCAAGTGATTCACTTGGAGCTTCTAAATCACAAAATAAATTAAAGATCTCATGTTCAACCTCTACAGGTCTAGCAGAAGGTCTATCTACTTTATTAATAATGACAATAGGTTTTAAATTCTATTATAAAGCTTTCTATAACACAAATCTAGTTTAAGCCATAGGTCCTTCAGTTGCACATACTAATAAACATACACCATCAACCATTGACATAATTCTTTCTACTTCTCCTCCGAAATCTTAATGTCCTGGAGTATCTACAATATTTATTTTGCTTCCTCCAAAAGTTACACCTGTCACTTTAGATAGAATAGTAATTCCTTTCTCTTTTTCTAATGCATTGCTATCCATTGAGTCATATTCATTTGCACAACCACTAGCCCTTAATAAAGCATCTACAAGAGTCTTTCAAATTTATATCAATTATTTACTGTTTTTCCATGGTCAACATGGGCTATGATGGCCACATTTCTAAAAATGTCTCTTGATTCTGAATGTAAGATTTTTAATATTTCCTACACATATTAATATATGTATCATACATCCTTAGGAGCTACTTCAACTGCACCAGAAAACGATCTAACAGAAACTCTATGGAAAATTTAACTAAACTATCTTAGTGTTCTTAACATTAAATTTAGCACCACTAATAAATTTATTTTGCTTATCAATCACAATACTTGAAATGATTTATATGTATATATTTTGTGTTATATAAATTATTTAATCAATTTAACAGAAAGTATGCTTTGGAAGCAATTCTCGAGAAGATCAATTTCACCACAGAATAAAGAGAACTTAAATTAATAGGTTGTACATATTTTGTTATCAAAGAGGTTATAACTAAAAGGAGAGATAGCAAAATTTCAAATCGATATCACGATAATTGTTCATAACTTACAATCATTGAAAATTATCAAATACCAAAATAACCAAAGTTGAAATCATTAGATCCTCTATTTGATGAGACTCTATGGAAATGTAATTCATAAGATCTAACTTTAAAATTATTTAAAGAATCAATAATTGATAAAACAGCAGCATTTAAAGAGATATATATAGTTGGAAAATAAATTGGTTCAGGATCCTATGCTAGTGTTAGATTATGTGCTGATAAATTAACACTAAAATCATATGCTCTTAAAATTTATAATAAATCTGGCATTTCATCTAGTCGTTAAAAGTCCATTCTTCGTGAAATTCGCATACTTTAAATGGTCAAACATCCGAACATTATTAATGTTTATAATGTGATAGAAACTAATAATCATATAAATTTACTTTTAGAATATATTGATGGAAAATAATTAAATACTTTAAAAGGTTATAATTTAAAATAAGCCTTATTCTAAATTGCATCAGCTTTAAATTATTTACATCTTCGACATATTACCCATAGAGATGTTAAAATTGAAAACATACTTTATTCAGATGGTTAAGTCAAATTAATTGATTTTGGTTTTTCCACACTTTTTTCTAATTCAATTAAAAAAAAAATTTATTGTGGCACTCCCAGTTATATGGCTCCAGAAATTGTTACTAAATAATATTACAGAGGACCTCCTGCTGATATATGGGCCTTTGGAATTGTCATATTTTATTTAACTTAAGGATATTTTCCATTCAAAGGTTAAAATGATAAAGAATTATTTCAATTGATTTTTTAATGCAAAATTAATTTTAATTCCATTAATGATACTTACTTGTAAGATCTATTATATTAAATGCTATAATTTGATCCTGATGATCGCATTTCTGCTAATGATGTATAAATTACAATTTTATTTAGATTCTCTCACATCCTTGGTTTTTAGAATAAATCAAACCAATTAGAATTAATAAAACACAAAAATCAAGCTGTTCAAAAATTCATTCACCTAAATAAATCAATCCTTATCAATAATATTAATCAACAGTTAAAAAAAATGATAAAGCTTCAATAGAATATCAATTAGATCATTCTTAAATTAGAAAAGGTATAGTCCAATCATACATGAGTTCTGTTGCATCCACTAAATCACCAATTTTAAGGAGAAGAGATTCAGGAAATTAAACATTTGATAGAAGTAGTAATTCTGTTATTAATTAATATAAATGAATAAAAATGCTGTTCATAATTTATACAAATTTGTTAAATTCCTTTTAATTATCATTACAAAAATTGACAATACCAAAATTTTCATTTCTCAAATCATAATCTTTTAACTAGAATAAGTTTCAAAAATAAATATGAAATTTAAATTGATGGTAAAAAGTTAAATTTATAAGAAAATCTATATACTTATAATTCGACAACCAGAACAAATTTTGTTAAAATAAGGAGATTTGAATTAAAAGGACTTGTGTCTATAATTTATTACAATCCAAAAAAATAAAAAGGCTATAAGACTCTATTCAAAAAAATCTATAAATAATCATATTAAATAGTTGATTACATTATTTAAATATCATGATTAAAATAGTTAATTTAAATGGAATAAATTATTAAAAAATAGCATTCTTAAAAGTCAATTGTGATATTTAATAAATAAAAAATGTCAAAGAGTCAAAAACAATCTCTATGTAAAATGATTATGATAGAAAAATATCTATTTATGTTGATAATTAAAATTGTGAATAAAAGATCCATACTTATGATATTCAATAATAAATATCTCTAATTTAAAGTGTGTGGATGTGGATATAAATAGGAATAAATTCATAAAAAAAATGAAAGAAACAAAAAAAAATAAAAAGAACAATAATAGATAATTTCTTGGTTTCAAGAATATCATGCAATTGTTCATTTATGAAAACTTAACAGAATTAAAACTTAAAGAAGTCTTGATTAAATTAATAAGTATTTTCATTGTAGTCTCCTAAATAAAGTAATAGAATAATCGGAATTAATTTTTTATTACTCCAAGAAGAAGAAGAGAATTTTTAATATAAGGTATACCATTATAAAAATGATTATATAATAATAATGTCATAAAGTGATGAAAATGATTAATTCCAACAAATATTAAATTCACTTGAAATCAGCAAACGAAAGATGAGTATTTCTGTTCATCAGTCTAAACTATTGGAGGAATCTAAAAGTTTAATATTGATAATATAATTTTTTAGAATAATAAAGTAGAAGATTTACGATGGAGCTGCCAAAAAATATTGAAGCTTCACAATCTTAAAAAGAAAGAATCATTACTAATCATCTTTTAAAAGATTTAGCCCCATTAGATAAATAGAATGATGAAAATCTCAAAACTCCCTAAGTACCACCAACAAATAAAATAAAAACCATTAAAAAAGGAATTTTATTATTAGGTTAAAAGTTTCATAAAGATTTAAGTTTCTATTTAAAAGCTCTGGAACCTTTAGACTTTTAAGAATTATAATAATCAAATGAATTGTTAATATAAAATGCATTATGCGCTGGCAAATATGTAAATGATTATGGTCTTTTTTGTGTTTTAAAGGAAGCCTTAAATAAAAAGAATATCAAGACAATAATCTAGTAAGATTGTATATTAGATGAAGATGGTAATTTCGCTGGGATTCCATAAAATACTAAACATTTAAGAAAGTCTTTGGGTTTACAGGAGCTTCATTATTGTAGTGGAAAAATTTCATTATTAAAATTTCATATTAATAATAGATTTAATTTAAGTAATTACTTATTTTGGTCTAAAGAGGTTGAGAAATTAGAAGGTATTTTTAAAGAAAACCTAATAAATAAAGATTAACAAATATTAATGATAAGAATAGAAGAATCATATTTAGAATTTACTATTCCTGAATTTGATGATAATCAATCTTCATTATTTATTTAAAAATTGAGGTAATAAAACTTAGATGTTTAAGTCTTACCACTAATTACTCATTTTACATTTAGAATGTCAGATTTAAATCCTTGGATGAATAAAGAGATAAATAAAGAATGGAAATTGTTTTCTCTTTAATGTGATCAATAATAATGTATTGGATATATAGATATGAATTAACCTACTATCTTTAATGAAATTCCTAGTCCAAAAACTTTGGCTATCAAACTTTATGGAGAAATTCATCAATATTAACTAGTTTTATAAATGAGTGAAAAATAAGTGATGGGAATTCTATTAAGAGACAAAGCTTGATCCTTTAATTCTTTAAAAAAGTTGATTATTTTTATATTATTTTTAAATAAATAACATGAAAATGGATTATTATCATAATTTATATAGATTAATGTCAATTAATTAATTATTAATTCATTTTATTGATTTTTAAAGTAGTATTCGATTATTATAATCCATGAGATTTTCTTTTAAATCTTATCTAGCTGATTAATCCATTTCATTCATCATATACGTGATATTTTCTCTTGAACTACGATGAACTGATTTACGAGCTAGGATTCTATTTTTTATTTCATCTATTTGCATTTAGGTTTTACTTGGAGGAGCCAATTATTATCTTAATTAAGCAATTATTTAATCTTTTTAATCAATTTCTTATTATATTAATTATTTTTCCTCATTTATCAATTCGAAGGCTTGATTGAATTCTTCTGATTATTTTTCTAATTAATCTCTTAATTATTCGAAATCTTGAATCATTAATTAATTTTAATGTTTACTCTATTATAATTCTAATTGTAATTTTCTTATCTATTCTAAAATGAATAAAAATTAGATTACATTTTAACTATTTATTTTCTTCTCTTAAATCTATATCGTCATATGAAATATTTTAAGGAGTATATGATCCTAAATCTTATCGAACAACTTATTAACTTCTATTAATAAATTATTATCTAGTTAATCTATCTTCTTCAAGTGATTTATTCTTTTATGAATGATTTATTTATTTTTGTAGTATTTATTGTAATCTTTAACCAGGGTTATGATTCTTATTTTATTAATACATTTCCAAATATGATGAATCTAAAGTATTATCATCTTTTAAGATAAATTTAGGTTAAGTAATAGTTTTTTTAGACACAGATGACTTGCGAGGGATCATAAAATTTAAAAATATTTCTAATTATTTTAACGTTATATATTAATTTATCATAATGTTTTAAGGAGTGAATTTGAAAATGCACATATTCCAAATGTTCCAGGTAATACATATACAAAAAATCTCTCACTTCTTAAGATATTAAAATTAAAGAATATTACCCAATAACAAACTAACCATACGATTGTCATTTACCCAAAGAATTTAGATCTTCGTTATAGTAAGATATTCAATACCCAAATAAATACATCAAGGAGCATAAAATTCCAAAAATAGAGAGGGCTTCTCTAATGAAATCAATTCTATTCAATATTTATAATAATGGATTAAATAATCTTGCATTTTCTCTAGACATTCTTTCAAATCTTTCTTATGACCAAGGATCAAATAAAAGTTAAAAGCTAATAGTTTGTACTGTTGTAAATATTAACAATTGAATAAGAAGACTCTATATTTTCATAAAATAAAATTAATATATATATTTATAAATAGATATACATATCAAATAATATAAATAAATAATATAGCAAAATAAAGAAATTAAAATAGCTACTATCAAATTGATTCTTCAACAACCCATATATCATGACCAGATTATTATGTTACACAAACTTCCATATGTCCTTTAAGAACTGCTTTATTTTTGGTTCCTGATAAATAAGAGTTTGTATGAGCATGTCTAATTCCTTATTTTAGTAAAAATGAAAATATTTACTAATTAGATTATTGCTATGCAATTTGCAAATTGATTTAGAATCATTAATAATTTCTAAGATCCAATAATCATCTTCAGTTAAATCTTAAATGATATCTACACATGAAACCTATTATAACTTTGATTTTGTCATAATACCATTACTAGATCTAAGAATGCATTTTGTAATCTTATGTTAAATCTGAAAAATGAAGAATATAAATACTGCAACAATATCTCCATCTTTTACAGGTTCATAATGATTAGTTAAAATTAACCATTCATCATATTCTGTCTTTTCAATTTCATTGCATAAACTAACTTCATGTTATTTGAAACCTTTATCTTATTTAATAGCATGGGAATGTAATTTTCTTCCATTACTAATATTGATGAACTAAACTGATATTCCTGATGTGATGACATTACCCAAAGGTTTAACCTTAGATACTGCATTAGCTAAAGTTGATCTCTTAACTTAGTTTTCTTCCATTATTGTATATATAGAGTATAAAGAACTTTATTATAAATATGATTCTTCTTCTAATATTATACAATCATTAATATGAGGATTCAATAATTTAGAGTTATATGTTCCATTTTATGGTTATATCGTAGGTTTTTAAGAGTTTCTTTATATACTTCTTTATTCATCTCCTTCTTTCGTTACACACTAACCCATTTTGATTAAATATAATATAGAATTATATTTAGTAATTAAATATTAATTTTTTTATAAAAAATTAAATTCAATTTTTGTTTGTGATCAAAAGAATTCATTTATTTTTTAATTAAAAAATAATATATAAAAGATCATAATGTTAGGGTTGAGATAATCTGATCAAATTGCAGTTGTTTAATAAAACTAATAAATCAATTTTATAGACATTAAATGCAGGGAAGTAATAAACTATAAAGATTTTATTATTGTTGCATGTTTAGATAAGACAGTCAAAGTTTATCAAAATTTATAGCTTATTTATACTCTAAAACTTCTTAAAAAGGTGAAAAGAATGACAGTTAATCAAAGTAACGATACAGTCTATGTTTGTGATAAACATGGAGATATGTGGTCATTTTAATTAGGATAGGAAGGAATTGAATAAATTACGAAAGAATCAACACCTATTCAAACTAATCTTGCTATTCCTAAAAGTTTTCAATATTTAGAAATTGATGATCAAAAAATCATTGTTTTAGGAGATTCATATTGTAAAATTAAAGTTTATAATGCTAACAATATTGATGAATTGCTTTGGGTTTGGGTTCCACTTGAAGGTTTTTTAAAGTAAATTATAGTAGATGGTGAATACATAGTTATGCTTTTTAAACGATTTGATGAACATGTAAGTCAAATTTTTAATCTTTTATTAGGAAAATCACTATTATGAGGTGTATTAAATTAAATAAAAAGAATTATTAAATGAACAACCAAACTTTGAAAAAATTTATGCTGATTATGAATTTAGTAAATAAGCAAATAAAGCATATTTATTAAGTCGTTAACTTTTGGCATACTCATTAAATTATAACAAAATTTAAATCTATAAAATTAATGAAAATAAACAAGTTTCTTTGTATTTAGAAAAACCTGGATTGGTGACTGATGTTTAATTCTCAAAAATTGCTTAGAAACAATATTTATCAATAAAGTCTAATTTATAAAGTTAAGATGAATAAGATTAAAAAATTGAAGATCAAGAATTTGTATTTATTCTTAAATAATGAGCATATTTAGAATAAAAATTTGAATATCTAGAAAAAATAAATAAATATAATATAAACTAATGAAAAATAATTTCAATATTAAAATTAATAATTATGAAAAATTAACTTCGATAAATCTTTTTGAATGAAAATGAGAGCTATAAAAAAGAAACTTAATCATTTGAAGATGATATTGATATTCAATTAGAAATTAGGAGAATCTATAAAATAGAACAAAATAACTCCATTAAATATTAATATATTCATTATTTTAATAATTGTGGTGAATAAGAATATCAAAATATTAAATAAAAAGGGATCATAATTAACCTTACTTAATTTTATAATCACGCGGTTATAACTTCAGATTTTTAAATTTTCAAATATAGTTAATAGAATTACAATAATTTAGAAGAAAAAATAATATATAAAAATAACCAATTAAGATAAAAAGGCTAAAATTCTCAACTTTACATTCAAGGTGATAAGGTGTTTATATAATTCAAATAAATATTGTGGCAACTATCCAAAAAATTAGAGGCATAGACATATTTAGAAAAATTAGATAGAGAATTCCATAATTTTAAAAAATAAGTTTAAGATTTCAATTTAGAAGATTATTAAACATAACTATCAAGAACAAAAAATCCTAAATTTTGGATAAAAAATATTATATAAAGGCCTAATTTTTAGAATTCTATGATTATAATTTAGAAGAACTCTACTATTAGTAAATTTTTCGTATTCATTCATCAAATAGAGGATTAAGATAATAAAATTACATACTTTTGTCATAATGAAAATAATTTATACAGAACTAAATATGCTGAGAGATTTAAACTTTAATTAGATTAAAAACAAATATTTTCTTTAAATCAACTTTAATAATAAATGAATGGATTTATTTAAGCTTTATCTGAGAAAAAATAAAAGATTTTTAAAAAAACGTTTATAGGAATGGGATTTGATTTAGCAAATCAATTTTGCTATTTATTTGCTAAAATAGAAAAAGAATAACCTTTAAAAGAAAGGATTTAAACTTAAGATTTTGCATAATTGTCTTTAAAAAATCAAAAAAAAATGGTAGATAGTTTAAGTTTGATAAATTTTTTTCGATAACAATTTTTTTTGAAAGAAGATTATTTTAATGAAGAAGTATATCAGTTTGATTCAAAAGGAAAATTAAAGATTAATATTTCTAAATCCTTTTTATTAATTAAATCTAATGGAAAAGCATAAAATGATAATCCTCAATAGAAAACAAAAAATGATAATCCTCAATAGAAAACCGATCAATTAATATAGGTAATTGAATATATTATTTAAATTAATTTAATCAAAAATTTAGATGAAGAAGAATAGGAAAACTTGCTTAAACTTAAGGAACTAGTTGAGTACTATAGATAAGAAACTTTATCAATTTAATAATTAATATCTGTGTTGGATGAAATTCAGTTTAAATCAAAGAAAAGCAAAAGATGAACTAGGATTAGATAATGATATACAAGATATATTTCTGAATTTTTTTTATGTAATTAACACTATAAATTATAAAAATTTTCTTTTAGAAATCTAATTAGATTCTGTATTTATAAAAAGAAATCTTATTATTAGACAAGCATAAGATTTGAATTCCAAGCTAATCGGCACAAAAAATTAGAATTAATATGAGTAGATTGATTTTAAAAAATATATAATTAATAGAATATTAGATAGTTGAACCAAAATATTTTAGATAACTTTTGGAAGATAAATTATTTAAATAGAAAATTACAAATTTATATGAAGAAGGAATAGATTAGAAAATAAAAAAAATAATAGAAATACAATTTTCAGAGCGGACTTCTGTTAAAAAATTGCTTAAGTTAAATAAATGCAAATCTAAGTTCAAATAAATAATAAAAAAATTACAATTAATAATTCTACAATTATATTACTTTAGAAATATTAAAAAAAATATTTATAAAATAAGGGTTTTTTTTTTATTTACATTAATAAAAGGTTTCATTAGGACATCATTCCAAAAAATATTTAATTTAATATAATTCAAATTTATTATAAAGATAAATTGTGGAAATGTTAAAATTTTTGTATTCCAAAAAGTTTTTATTCTTCATTTTTTTGTTGATAGACATAATTAAATTATAGCTTTGACATATGATTAAAGAGTAAGACTTGTTATAGAATATTTTTCTAGAGGGAAGTCAAAAATCTTTGCAAATTCTCTAATAGATTTGAAATTTATAAAGACGAACAATTATTTATGAATTTATATAATTATTCAAAAATTAACTATAAAATCATTAAATAAACTAATTTATGGGTAAATGCACTATCATCTAAGAAATTAGTATAAAAATTTTATGATACAAAATAAATTAAGTCAAATGAGAAAGAATAATCAAACTTTAAGATAAATTATGATAATAATTTAATAGAACATATTTTTAGATATGTAAAAAGAATTATAATTAATCTCTTGTACAGTTATTAAAACTTCTTTGAACAATCAAATAAAATATTAAACTTGATGATTGATGTTTTATAATAAATTTCAATTTCATTTGAAAGTAAATATAAATTGAGTCAACTTGATTTATATGTAGAACAATTAAATTTATTTAATCTTTTGAAAGTCCTAATAATTAAATAAACTTTTACATTTCTAACATTTAATTAGTTTAAATGTATTTTTAATATAAAGGATAATCATCAAAGTTTTCATCCATCTATTCATTATAAATTGATTCTTAATTTGAAATAAATTCAATAGAAACAACACTCTTTAATACTTTATTTGTTTTATTATTCATTTATGATGGTAAGTATTTCAATCTAATTGAACTATGTGATCCCATAACAAAAGAATTATTAGAAGAACTTGTTAAATGACGAACTTCCCCTCTATTGTATTTATCTGGTGGAGCTAATAAATTCTTTTAAGATTAAGGACTATTATATAATGTAAATTTACATGGAATTATCTTAGAGGGACCAAATCATTTAATTAGATATTTTAGATGTGCTTTTGATTTATTTAGGTGAATTTAATTCTTTTTTATCTTAGGATAATTTAGATTCTGATAACTTTTTACTAAATTTTACTCCTCCATTCCAATCATAATATCCATCCAATTTAATATTATTATTTTCAGCTGCTTCTTTAATCAAATTTATAATAAACTCATAATTTGGTTTTTCTTCAAATTTTAGTTTTCTTATATATGAAAAAGCTTTAATTAATTCTGGTAATTTATTTCCTATTAATTCTGCTAATGGAATAGTTTGTTTCATTTCTCCTACTAATCTGTTTCTTTCACTATCTTCCACAGGCATATTCTACCATGGAAGATTACCTCTTAAAAAATATATTATAACATAAAAGAGAGACTCTAAATCATCTTTTCTACTTAATTCATATCCTTTATGAGCAGCTATTGAAGCATATCTAGTGGTACCAACAAATTCTTTGTCTTCTCTAAAAAGTCTTTAAAGAACTTAGTTAAAAATTATATCTACATATGATCGGCTTCAAAATATATCTTGCTTATACCGAAATCTACAATATATATTTAATCTAATTCTTTTGACATCATTATATTCTCTGGTTTCAAATCTCTATGAATTATAAATTTTTTGTGAATATTTTCTAAAATTTCTAAACAATCATAACAAACTTATAAACAACATTTCAAAGAAAATTTCTTATATTATTTAAAGTAATATGATAAATCTTTCCCCAATAATTCTATTGCCATTATTTACATTTATCCATCTGTTCCATGCCATATAAGTTTCGGAATTCCTAATATATTATCTAATTATATTAGAATCTCTATTTCTCTTTCTAAAGTTTTTATTTCTTCATTTTCCTCTTTTTCTACTTTCAAAGCACATTCTGTATTTGTTGCTCTGTCAAACACCAAATATACAATTCCAAATGAACCTTGAGATAATTTTTTCTTCTATATGAATCTATTACCAAATATTTTTGGATTACTTTAACTCATAATCCAAGTTTTCTAGAAAATAAAATGATAATTAATTACATAAGATAGTTATAGATTTTTTCATTATTTCAATTAAATTGAAATCAAATTTATGTTATATTATTCTTTTGTAACTAACTACTCTTCTAAAATGACCATTCTTATATTTTTTAAAGCATTCTATAATCAAATTCAAACCATATAACTTTTTTCATATTAATGGTATTTTTCAAAATTTCTTTTTCTAAGTGAAATATAATATTATTGTAAATTGATTTTAATCTATCTACAAAAATATTTACATTCTAACATAAAAATTTATTCAATTATTAACAATTATAAAATAGAAAAGTATTAAAGAAGTAGATAAAATATTAAAATGAATAATACTTTTATTTAATAATAAATTTATCTATTTTATAAATAAATAATCTTTTTCATTTAAAATAAAAGATATATTCAAGTTTAGACAGTTTTACATAATAGAAAAATATCTAGATTTATTGAAAGAATCAAAATTTTATAAAACTATTTCTAATTAAAAAAATGATCATGAATTTTTTTAATTAATTCTTTTCTATAAAATTTGTATACATTATGAAAAATTCATAAAGCATGATTATTCAATTTGGAATAAATAAATATAATATGCCTAGAATAATTCAATATTTTAGAATTTTAATATAATACTTAATACTCATTATGGTTTATTTGATGGATTTAGCAATTATTATGTTCTGACTATTTATTAAGGTTGTCAATGAATTTGTGCTCTAGGGTAAGTCTAAAAGATTTGATAATTAAAATTTATAAGAAGCCTAGGTTTTAAACCTGAAAATGTAAGAGCTAGAGCAACAAGAGGTTAATAATTTACGGGTGTTTAAGCAAGTTGTCTATCTTTAAACTTCTCTTTCAACAGCATCATATTCAACTCTTAGAACTGTTTTAGTTACTGGTACATATACAGTTTATTATTCATATACAGTTTTGGAATATATTCTGTTAAATATTAAATTGGATAATAATCAGTCACATATTTAGTTTTTGGAACTTATACTTAAATAATTTCTGTTTCCCTTTCAACAACAGGTCTCTAAAATTCTCTATATTCTACTCTTGAATTTCCTTTAGTTATTGCTTATTAAGAAGTAAAACTAAAAATTATTATTATTCTACAGGTTATGATACTAATCATTAAGTTAAGACAGGTTGATTAATAACATATTAGATTAACTAAGGTGCATATTACACAAGCTCAGTATATCTTAAAGGTTATATTTATATAAAAGGAGCTGCAAAACTTAAGGAATTGAACTTCTTAAAGGAATTTTTGGATATATTGGCATTATTATATTTCTAAAATTTCTTTTTTTATTTAATATCCAAGATTCAAATAATTTTTATTTTTTTATATAATCTTATATATAATCTTTTGTTTAAATCTCTTTATAAGCTTTTTGCTTAAACTATCAATTTATTCGCTTCATACTATTATATTAAATCTAATTATTTATAATATTCTGATGCAACATCAATCTCATATTTATATAATATAAATATTTAAATTAAAAATTATGGCTGATGAATTAGCAGAATTCTATAAAGAGGTCTTAAAACTAATATCTCATTTATGTTTTGAAAATAAAATTACTGAAGATCAAAAATCAGAGTTAAAAAAGTTGATTTTGGAAGATGAAGAATTTGTTGCTTAACTTAAAGAAGAATATGATATAGAAGGATTAAGCGGATTAGAAAATATCATAATTGGGGATTCTATTTCAAATTCAAGTTTTAGGGATTTAATGGATTTTAATCAAGAAAAGAGGAAAAGGTCTTAATCGTTAACAATTTAAACAGACTCTTCGGAATGAGTCAGTTCTATTAATTTTAGAAAAGCTAGCTTGATTTTGATTTATGTTTTATTTGTACATAAATAACCAAAATCACAAAAAACACAAGATTAAACATAGATTTTCTACTATATTTTGATCATTTAATTTGTTTATTCTAAGTAGTAACCCTAATGCAAAAAAAATCATTAACATATTCTTTTCTACTTTTAATTTCTTTTAAATTTACATTAAGATAAATTAGAAATTATTAATATTAAAAGTCTTCGATATGAACTTAATTTTCCAAATGATAGAAATCAAAACTTTATAACTTTAACGGGTTTTAAAAATTGTGATCATTTCTTTTTCTAATGTGATGAATTATTAAATTTAATTTTACTTACTCCACTTTGATTTATATTTCTCAATAAAAATTAAATTTTTGAGTTTTTCCAAAACAAAAAGAACTGGAAGTTTAAATCTTCTGTTTAATAATTAAAAAATTTCCAATATGTTTTTAATGAAAAAAATTTTTATATATGTTCTTTAAGTTATTTTTCACGTTTAAAAATATATATATCATAAAATTCAATATTGATTAATAAAATTTGATGAAAGCAAATATTATTATCTAAAATGAAAAAAAATAACCAATTTTAAATAGTTATTATTATTTTGCTTAAAAAAATAGATTAATCTAAGGATTTATTACTTAAAAGGTTATTTTTAGCATATTTAAGCTAACAATATAACCTTTTTAGGCTATTAAATAACTAGAATTAAGATATATTAATTTTCCTTTTTCATACATCAAAGAATTCATCCATTAATCTTCATAAATAAATCCATCTGCAAAATTATATACTCCAAAACCATCAAATTAATCATTTTAAAATAAGCCTGAATATTAGTTACCATTTTATTCCATATCAGTATACCATACCCACTTTTTTTACCTTTTTTATATTCATCTTCAAAAATAGTTCCTCTTTCTATAATTCTTTTCATTTTACTGGTATATTTTAAATCCATTTTCCTTCAAAGCTCATCTCTTTATTATATACCTTGACTATGATGACTTCCATACAGATATTCTTCTTTTTATTCTAAACCATCTGGATATAATTTTTTTCCATATATATAGAGATAGATTTATAATAAAACCAGCGTTTATCGTTCCATCACCATTAACAAAAATACCAAAATCCTACAGTTAGCATTAACCTTAATAGATGAAACCCTCAAATTTATATGCTTTATTTGAATTTGGGTAATTTTTGCAAAATTTTGTTTCAGAAATCTAATCGGTTTAAATATTTGGAATCACAAATTCTATTCACAATGAATTTTACATATGATTGTAATATTTTTATCAGGAGATAAATCTTCTGAAGTTTCTACTATAGAATATTTACTTTATATTCCAATCATTTGAATATATATATTATTAGGAATATGTAATTTTATACAAAAATTATTTACATAAACTTTAAAATCCAAAATTTCACTGTAATATTTACCTATTGACCATGTATTTTCTTGAGATTTGTAATTACATTTTTAAAATCAAAAGAAATATATATAAAACTTTAAATAAACTACCCATAAAATTCTTTAAATTTGATAATTCTATTCTTGGTTTACAGAATCTTAAATAGAGTTTCCTTTAATTTTTAATTAGTTTTTGGTGTTTCTAAACATTTATATTATCCCATTTTTATTATTTATTAATATGATATTTATAGATGTGATATACAAATTATTTCATGTTTTAGGACTTACTCTAGTCTTTTTGATTACTTTTGGTCTAGCAGGTCCTTATATTTATTTTTAATTTTACTTTTTTTTTTTAATTTTTCTACTTGTTTATTAGGGTCATTTGAATCTCTTTTATCTAAATATTTGCTTACATAAAGAAAGGGGAATAGTAAGAATCTTTTAAGTTTCTTAAATCCTCTGAATTTTTTTTGTTTTTAAGATAATTTCTTTACAACTAAATCAACATTCCATTGTCTATTAAAGACTTCATAATTTTTTAATATTTCAAATTCTTACATATCTGGCAAATTTTCTTTAAGATTTAAAATTTTCTTATACCAGAATTCAATTTATTCTTATTCTTTTTTCGGAAATAATAGTAAATTATTCATCTTTTGTCTTAGTTCATTAAAAAAGTTTAATTCTTAAATCTAAGCTATTTGTTCTTCATTATCAACTTAACCTTATTTATTTAATAGTAATTTTTTAAGCTATTATTTTGTATTAATATTTTGATTTTGATTAATTTATCCATATTGAGACATTAAGAATTATTATTATTAAGGTTAAATCAACCGATTCTATCTTTAATTTTTAATTTTATCAAAAATTTAATATTAAAGTAGATTTTTAGAAGAAATGGTATGAATTTATTTGCTACCTCTTCTTGAATGAGGATTTTATTATGAAAAACTTTAATCTTTAATATCATCAGCATCTTCATTTTCAGATTCAGTTTAACTATCTAAACTCATTGGTTATTCAATAGTTGGAAATAGAGTTTCTAAAGCAATTTAATTGTCATTTTAAAACTTATTCACAGTTGATTCTATCATTTTTTAATTTAGATATGCATTTTTAAATTAAATTTTTTTAATTTAATTTGATTCATTTACAATATCAATTTCATTAATTGATAATTACCTAATTCTTCTGTCTTACTTAATTCTTTTTTTTTATTTTTTTCTATAAAGATATCTTTTTATAACAACTTCTCTATTTGGAAGAAAATGAACTAAAGAACATTATTAAGTTGAATGTCTTTTTGCCTTACAAATGAAGCAAAAATTAGAAATACAAGATTGAGAATTTAATAGATTGTGATATTTTTAGTTATCAAGATCATTCTAAGATAGAATTTTATGAAAATATGAATATGGAATAGAGAGTACACTAGTAAAGGCATTACTTTTAAATATAAAATTAGGATTATATTGTTAAGTAACAAATTCTTCTAATCCAAAATAATCAAATCTTTCTAGAGTTTATATAATTTTCTAGTGATAATTTAATAGAATAAAATACTTTCTTATACAATACTTCAACTTATCCTTATTCAATTATATGAATAAAGAATTCATCTTTTGATTAAATTGTAGCCCCCGGTTAAAAGATTTAAAAATTGACTTCTTCCAATAATTAATTCAAAATTTCATTTGAAAAATTATCACTAAAAAAAGGACATTTATTAATCAGAGATTTAGCAGCTTCAATGCGAAGACTATGTTACAATTCTTCTGGAAGCATTGATATAATTTCTGATTATTCATTGACTTATTGAATAACTTCTTACTTTAAATAAAAATACAATTATTCTCTAACTCTTTAATTATATTAAATATATATTTACTTAAATTGTAAAGCTGGACTAATTTACTTGTTATGCATATATTAATTAATGGCTGTTAACTTTGTCTTAATTTTATCACTACTCTCCTTAATCTATGTTAATATACTTCCTATAGTATTCACAGTGTATGAAAACAACAACATACATAAAAACATATAAACAATAGTAAAAATTTATTCAGGAGGATCTGAATTATTAAAAATAAATACTTTTTGGAGTCAAATCACCATATCCAACTGTAAATGTAGTAACACAAATAAAATAAAAGGATTAAAGAAATTAATATGACCATTAATTATTTTCAAACTTATCCATCCAAGATTATTAATATGCATCCTAACATTAAATACCAAAAACAAGCCATACACAACTGAACACATGTTAAACCAAAAGTATTAATGTTATTAATTTGATCAACTCTACTATTGATGTAGACATTCTGCTAAGCTTAAAAGAATATTAAGAAATATCAATAAATTTTAATATGTTTGCCACTTATATGTATAATAAAGATAATATAAATTTTGGCCATCCATCTCCTATTATATTTTTATCAATAATGTTTTCTGAAGATATACTTATTATTATTGTATAAATAAAACTAAATAACTCCAATAAGGTTGAGAAGTTCAATTATTTCTTAAATAATATATATCGATCTCTTACAGGTAATCCTTAATCATATGTCACAGTAAATGCCCTCATTATAATATCAAAAATTAAAGATATAGAAAATAAAATTAATGGAATCTATTGTTAATCAATAAAATTTTGATTGTGAAATGCCATCAATATTGGAATTATTACAATTAAATAAATTCTAATTGAAAAACATATCAAATCCCAAAAAAATTTAGGATTACTCATTGGTTCTATTAATGGAATTTCATTATGGATATGAGATAAGTAATGTTTGATTGTAGTTTTTATTGTTCTTAATTTTAATCTTATCTAAATTCTTATATCAATTAATTAGATGTATTAATGAATCAAACTTTTTTAATTTTCATTATATCTGCCAACTTGATATTTAAAGGAAGCCCCTAAATCATTAATTAAATTGAAATGTTTAAGAGTAAAAGATGTTGTTAATTTATATGGAGCCAATAGCATTTTTATAAAGTCTTTTTGATGAAAATAAACAATCAATTTTCGAAATGATTTTGATTACTTAATTTACTCAGTCTAAGCAAATGTTTAAAGTCTTTCAGTAATATTTTCATATTTTGGAGTAATGAGTTATTAAGGATTAGTATATTGTAAAATCAATTATTCATGATGTTCAGAATTTGATTGAACCATAGGTGATAATTTATTCTTATATCTTTTTTAACCATCCATATTTAAAATCTCAAAACCTGATCTGTCTTGAATTTCATTTACATCATCTTAATTCATTTTTCTAGAAAAAGTATTTTAAGTGAAAAGTGAGACTGGTTGTTTCATTTCTAGTAAAATGATAAATAAATTAATTTAAATTTTTAATATATAAAATAATTATGTATCTGAAATGTGAATTGAAATAATATGACCATTAAAACGAATCTTATTAAATAGTAACGAAATATAACATTATAAATCTTTTTAATACCATCTTTATTCATTTTATAGGAAATACTTAAATTTATCTTTTTAAGGAACGATGTTATTATTTTTTTTTTAGTAATGCATTTGATAATCTATGTTCTTGTTATCGAACTACAAGAGATTTTCTAGGCACTCCCTATCGAGTTATATTGAATCTATACTAATTAATAAAATCATAAGGATAAAATAAATATTTTATCCAATTATTTCCACTTATTAAGGAATATTGATCCAAGCTCTTAGATGCCGAAACCATTATATATCGAACAGGACTTATTAGTTTCTTTAAAACCATATTAATATTAGATTTTTGATTAAAAGTTTGATATTCCTTTTTCTTGTCTAATTCTAATCTATCTTCAATATTTAATTTTAATTATAACAATTGAATTTGATATTCAATCTATTATAAATCTCTCTCTGTGTAAAGATCTTTATGATTTAATTTATCTTTAAGTGCCTTCAATGTAATTAATTCTGATGATAAATTTAGTTTTCCATCATAAATTTCTTTTTCTGATTTTATTTAAGATTTTTGACAGAAATCAAAATAAGATTTACTCTCAAGATCCTTTATCAGTACACCAACTGATTCAATATCTTATTTATTTAATAATTCTATTTATATTTATATATATCTAACCTTGACTTTCAAATTGAGTTGTATCATCCTATATATATTGATATTTTTAGAAAAATAAACTATCGTTTTTAACTTTTACCATTTAAGCTGCTTCCCTCAATATTTCCTAATCGGTTTAAGCATGATAAAGTTATCTGATTCTTCTAGAATTTCTCAAAAACATAATTCTCTCTTAACTTTAATAAAAATTATATTATTTGATAACCTTTTCTTTATCTGGTATGTAATGAACTTATTTACATTAGTCTGGTGGATGTCTTCGTGAATCACATATGCCACATTTCGAATCACAATAATTATTAATTTTCAAATTCCAAAAAGTTTCATAATCAACTTAATATTTTTATATTAATTAGTAAAATTTAGATTTTGGAATTACTAATGTACTTACAAATCCTGAACTTTTGTATTCATAATTAAAAGATTTCTAATTACTTATAAATTCATTTAATCCAAAATGTTCACCTGCCTTAAAATTTCCAATTAAAACTTTTTTATCTTAGTTTTTAGCATAAATATCAACTTATCCAGATTCTATAATATGTATAAAATAATCATCATCATTGAATATATTTAAAGTTGAAGAAGGTTGAAATGATTAAAATTAAAGATGTTTCAATAATTCATTTAAAAATTCATTTGAAAAATTTTTATGAAAAAATTCACAATTTTTAAGCATTACACTATTAGATTCAACAGCTATTTGTTTTCTTAAATCATCTGATAATTAACTTAGGATATCAGTTTATTCTTTAGTTTATTAGGTTTATTCTTAATACCAATAATAATTAAGATATTCTCTGACTTAAAATTATAATTGATGACTAATTTTTTTTGTATGCATATACTGATTGATAAAGATTAATTTTTTATTTATGATGTCATTATTATTTTTCATTCTTGTCAAAATTTCTCCAATAGTATTTAAACTGAAGGATAATTAAAAGGTACAAGCAAATACAAATAGAAATACAAATATCTTCTCTGATGTATCTTTAATAATTTATAAAAGAAATACTTATTGGATGTATGTCTCCATATCCAACAGTGAACATAGTAACACTTGTAAAATACATTGATTCAATATACAATTCACTCCATGGTAAGTTATCTAAATTAAATGCTGAAATCCAATTAGTAATACCAGAGATTTGATTATATCTTCCTATGATAAGCCAGATGCAACTAAAAATATGTTAAATTATAAGTAGCAAACCAATTAATTTAGACAATTCTATTAAAGATGATGCTAATTATCCCATTATAAATTGTTATTACCATGATCCTATAAAATTCAATAAATTTTTTAATTGTATAAAGTAAAGTAGCATCCAAAATTTAGGCCATCCTTGGAATAAAATAAATTGACTATTAAAATCTAAATTTAAATAAGCCATTCCGAAAAGCAAAAATATTTGAAGTAATTCAATTAAATTAGTGAAATGATATTGATTTTTGACAATTTAATATCTATCAATAACAGGCAAACCTTAATCATAATAGATTGTAATATTTCTTAATAATAAATCTATAGCAAATACTACTTGAGATATTATTATAAGATAATCATAATTTTCAATCAATTCTTCAAATGTAATTATTATGGGTATAATATAGATCAAATATATTCTAAAACAGTTCAATAAAAGATCCCAAATAATTTTAATTTTAAACGAAGGATCGATTAAAGGAATTTATTCGAATAAGAAAAAGATTTTTTGTTAAGCATTTATCAGATATTGTCTATATAAGTATTTCATTCTTACAAAGAAATTAACCTCATCTAGACTAGGATATTGCATCACTTAAACTTTTGATTTTCCTGTATAACTTATAAAATCTTTGATATTTCCTGAACTTTTATCATCAATCAGCTTAAAGTGCTTTGGTTTAAATTATTAATCAGGTTTGATAAATTTTAACAGTTTTTTCATGAAAAATCCAATATGATAGTAAATAATTAATTTTTGAAAGGGCTTAAAAACTGATTGGCCAAAACCAGGTATGTCAGGGCTTGGAGCTTCAATCTTTTTGAGTAAAATAATAGAGGAGGAATCGCAATCCTGATTTACTTAAGGATTTTTACACATTGAAGTATCTTATTATCCTGTAGTATTAATATTATCTAAATGAACACTATTCAGACTATTCATAAATTTAATTTAATTATTTTATAAATTAGCAGTGTTACTTAAAGTTATATATAAAAATGATTAAATAAATTTTTAATAATTTTATATTGTGAATTAATCATCTTCCACCTTTTATAATTATTTCAATTCTCTTTTGTGTTGCTATTATCTTATCAATTCTTATTTTTATTATTTTTATTTTCCAACATGAATATAACAAAATTATAAATCACATGCAAATATATTTAGTTACATCCTAAGTTTTTTTGGAGCCAAAGTTTACATTTATTTCACATCTTTAATTTATGATCCTTAACAAAATTTTCAAAATTTTTTTATCAATTTAATCTCTTGTGTTTGTAATTTAACACTCTTTAAAACTTTAGGATTTAGGAAAAATGACTCTTCAATTTAAGCAATATTATTTTACATTTAAGACAACCAAAATGAATTTTATCATCTGAATTTCCTAAAACAAAAGCATATTAGCAATCTTGAGTTGGATACCAAGAGAGGTTAGAAGCATGATCATCAAAAGTAATATTTAATGTGTAGTCCAGAGTTTCCTCCTTCTTTTTATTTCCAACAATTTGAAAAATATCATATATGATTATCTCCTTTTCACAATTTTATTCTAGAAGAATTATCGATTTTCTTTTTTCATTATGTACCATCCCAATAATTCTTTGAGAAAATTTATATGAAAAATATGAAAACATTATTCTAAAGGTATAACATTTTATTCAATTAAATTAGAAAAATAAGTTGTCTAATCTACTTAATCAGATTCAATTTATTTTTTTCTTTACAAATTTTTCATCTACTGTTATAATTATTTTATTAATGCAAGAGTAGCTACTTTATTTAGATCTTCTATAGAATATTCTTATTAATGGTTAAAATCTTCGTTCGATATTAGTTTAGTTCCATCTTATTAAAAACCAAAATTTTAAGGTTTTTCAAAATTATTTTGATATCACAAAGAAATTTATTTGATTCAGATCTCAATTTCTAATAAGTATTCATTTTGTTAAACTATTGATAAATCTGATTAAGTTTCTTTTTTCATGATGTTTGCTATATCAAAATTAAAAATAATTATTTTATTCATTCTGTATAATGAATTAATCCTTTAATAATCAAATAACCAAAATTCTAATTAGATCATTCCATTTTAACTGATTCTCTAACAAGTATATCTTTAAATATAATAATATTCTTATTCGCTCAATCCTTATTTCTAGCAAAGTTATTATTCTTTTTCAAAAAATGATTAATTTTAATCTTTTCCATGAAATACATTTATGAATGTTGTTCATCTTTAAAATAATACTTATCCTTAAGAATCTTAAACATAAACATAAACTTTATTTTAATTTTATTTTCTCTTAATTAAAAATTCTTCAACCTCTTCAAAAGTCTTGATTCCTAATTTTAAGATCTCCGTTCTTCAATTTATNACATCTTTAATTTATGATCCTTAACAAAATTTTCAAAATTTTTTTATCAATTTAATCTCTTGTGTTTGTAATTTAACACTCTTTAAAACTTTAGGATTTAGGAAAAATGACTCTTCAATTTAAGCAATATTATTTTACATTTAAGACAACCAAAATGAATTTTATCATCTGAATTTCCTAAAACAAAAGCATATTAGCAATCTTGAGTTGGATACCAAGAGAGGTTAGAAGCATGATCATCAAAAGTAATATTTAATGTGTAGTCCAGAGTTTCCTCCTTCTTTTTATTTCCAACAATTTGAAAAATATCATATATGATTATCTCCTTTTCACAATTTTATTCTAGAAGAATTATCGATTTTCTTTTTTCATTATGTACCATCCCAATAATTCTTTGAGAAAATTTATATGAAAAATATGAAAACATTATTCTAAAGGTATAACATTTTATTCAATTAAATTAGAAAAATAAGTTGTCTAATCTACTTAATCAGATTCAATTTATTTTTTTCTTTACAAATTTTTCATCTACTGTTATAATTATTTTATTAATGCAAGAGTAGCTACTTTATTTAGATCTTCTATAGAATATTCTTATTAATGGTTAAAATCTTCGTTCGATATTAGTTTAGTTCCATCTTATTAAAAACCAAAATTTTAAGGTTTTTCAAAATTATTTTGATATCACAAAGAAATTTATTTGATTCAGATCTCAATTTCTAATAAGTATTCATTTTGTTAAACTATTGATAAATCTGATTAAGTTTCTTTTTTCATGATGTTTGCTATATCAAAATTAAAAATAATTATTTTATTCATTCTGTATAATGAATTAATCCTTTAATAATCAAATAACCAAAATTCTAATTAGATCATTCCATTTTAACTGATTCTCTAACAAGTATATCTTTAAATATAATAATATTCTTATTCGCTCAATCCTTATTTCTAGCAAAGTTATTATTCTTTTTCAAAAAATGATTAATTTTAATCTTTTCCATGAAATACATTTATGAATGTTGTTCATCTTTAAAATAATACTTATCCTTAAGAATCTTAAACATAAACATAAACTTTATTTTAATTTTATTTTCTCTTAATTAAAAATTCTTCAACCTCTTCAAAAGTCTTGATTCCTAATTTTAAGATCTCCGTTCTTCAATTTATGTCCTTAATTATTTCTCTTTAATCAAATTTTCCATAAATCTTTCATGACTCTCAATTTCATCCAGCTAATCCTTATCATTAAATTCCATTCCTGCCAAAATCACCCAGTATCATTATCTAATGTAAATATTAAAATCCCTTCTTTTTTATCATAAAACCCACAATTTCCTATCCACTTTAAGATGACATATTAGGTTCTTTTATAGTGATAATTCTTCTTTCATTCTTTTAGGGGGATTAAAGACTCTTTTTACCTTAATAAATTCTATTGTATCATAATTTCTTTTTGTTAATAGAATCATCTTATAGTATATATTTAAATAAACATTAACTTCTGGAATTATCTCTTAAAATAAAATCGCCATAATAATATTCTATTTTTTCTTATTAATGCTCATCTCTTGACATTTCTGTTATATCTTAAAAATTTCCAAACCCTTTCTTTTTTTAGCCTTTTGGCAATTAAATTTCTTGCTGAGTTAATCTTTAAAAATGTTGGAAAGTTTAATTTTTTAATAATTGAATAAGGGTTTCCATTAATTTTTTATGCTAAGATAATATTCAAGATAAATTTAAAAAAATTCTTATAAATTTATAAAGTAATTCATGTAAATATCATGAAAAGTATTATAAGGAAAATAGATTCTAAATTTAATAACACATCTTCATGATGTTTGATTTCTCTGTATTTTTTTTGGTTCTTGGTTTTAACTATCAATTTTTCTTTGCTTTTTTTGTTTTTATATTTGAGTCAAACAATACTACTAAAAATTAAGTAAATAAATACTTTTCTTTTTCAGTGAAGAACTTCTTAAATTATATATACCATTATATATTTTATTATTTTGGCAAAAATATTATTTTAATTTAATCATTGAATGATCATATGATGATATATATTATTTTAAACAATTAAATCCATATTCATGGGAACTTAATAACCAAAAGCACCTTAGAGTAAATAGATCACATAATTTCAAATCGAAGTGGCATGCTTAAAAGTAAGTAAATCTTTATATTTTTAGGTAAAAGGCTATGTGGAATTAAACAGAGACAAAAGAACGAATTAAGCATTAATGAAAGAGAAAGCTTTAAATGAAATGTTAAGAAGTCCTTCTAGAATAATGGTTGAAGAGTACCAGAAGCTCAAACAGTTGGTCCAAGATGTTCGGTTTATAGAAACTTGTAACATTGTTATTAGGTATACTAATGTGAAATTAACTTAGATATTGTGATATTGTTAAAGATTAATCAATTAGAATCTTTAGATGCGGAGGAGATCATTCAAAAATATCAGACGTCATGCCATATATTGAAAGTATCCTTTTTGCAGCCGACAATTTAAACTTAGAGTAAGTAATGGAATTTAAAGATCTTATGATATTCTATTTCGGTCCTGGCTTTAATGACACAAGCAAATTAATGAATGTTGATTAAGAATTGAGGTAACTTTATAAAAATCCTTTACCTGATGCTAATGAAGTGAATGAATTTGCATTAAAATTTGCAGAAAAATATGGATTCAGTGAAGAATAATTAAATGCTTCAGGACATTAATTTAGCTCTAAATTTCTCAAACCTGCTTCAGGAGGAATATTATTAGATTAGTAAGTATTTGGTTAATAATAATAATTTATTCCACCTCCAAATTAAGGTTTTGGAGTACCTTTTGGATCTCATCCAGAACCTTTTTCATAACCAGGTACTTATTAAGGATAAACTGATTTTGGAATGTAAGGAGGTTTTGTATAACCATAAGGAGGATTGGGTAATTATCCTTAAGGAGGATTTAGTAATTAACCATAAGGAGGAGGATTTGGTAATTAACCTCAAGGAGGATTTGGTAATTAACCTTAAGGAGGATTTGGATAACCACAAGGAGGATTTACTAATCAACCTTAAGGAGGTTTTGGTAATCAACCCTAAGGATTTGGATAGCCATAAGGGGGTTTTGGTAATTAATCTTAAGGAGGTTTTGGAACATAAGGAGGTTTTGGAACATAAGGAGGTTTTGGTAATTAATCTTAAGGAGGTTTAGGATCTTAACCTTAAGGTTTCCCAAATAATTTTGCTAATTAACCTCCTCCATAAACTGGTTTATATAATTAACCTAATAATTAATTATATGGTAATCAACCTCCAGCAGGATTTGGTTAAACGAATGGTTCTTCAAATCCATATGCAGGTCTTAATTCAGGTATTTTTAATTTATTTCAATATAAAGGTCCTTAAATTATGGCTAGTTAAAATATGAAAACTCCTTAGTCATTCTAAACTCCTTAATAGCCATAGATCTAGCCAGTAATACTACCATAATAGCCTATTGGTCAATAAACAAATAATAATAATAATAATACAAATGTATAAACTCTTGATGAGTTGGAAGCAAGATTTAGAAAACTTGATAAAGGCTTATGATCCAATAATTAAGTTAAATATATAATAATATACATTATATTATTTTTATATATTACATTAAATTATATGTCTTTATTTTTAATATTAGAAACTTATAAAATTCTATTTCATATTTCAAAACATTCTATTCAAATTTACTACAGAAGTCAAACATAAATTTATTATCATTATTGAAAACATTCAAAATTTGAGTATTGATCTTTTAAACTTCAATTAGATTGTTTAAATTTAAATAAGTGTTTTTGACTCAAAACAGATATTAAGTTTCAATTATTGAAAAAGAATTTTTAGTTAAAGTTAATAAAGCTTTAAGAAATCATTAAATCACAAAAATTATATGAATAAATCAAATTTATTTATTTTTTTAATAAAAATTACTATTTTATATGAATTTTTTTATAATTTAAATAAATTTAATAAATTTTGAATTTTTTTGCAATATAAATTATTCTTAATCAATCAATCCACTTCTCAAATACTCCCTCTTTCCAAATTCCTCTTCTTTTCTTTTTACCAATTTTAATTTCCATTTCACCATTCATCTTGCCTTTAACGAAATTACCAGAAATAAGTTTATCCCCAATTTTTAAAGTTCCTTAACCTTCATACATATCCTCTTTAAATTCACCTTCATACTATTGATTTGTTCCTTAATATTTTCCATATCCTTGTCTTTTACCTTATTTCCACCTTCCCTCATATACTTTTCCATCGCTCCATTTATACACTCCATAACCATCAAAAAGATTATTATCAAATTCACCTTCATATTATTCTTGCTAAACTTAATCTTCTCTAAATGGCCACTTTAATATACCTTTACCTTATTTTTTACCATTAACAATTAATCCTTCATATTATGTTTAATCGGGCCATTATTCAACACCTTAACCAGTTATGGCTACCTATTCTTAGTTTAAGTTGGTAATAAATGAAGAAGTAAAAAATTGACCTTGTTAAACTACTCCATTATTTTGTAAATTTTAGATTCTGATTGCACTTGGCTATTGTACTCTTAATGCATCTTCATTGCCAGGACTTAAAGACTCGTTAATTAAAGGTTATAAATCTTCATTAATTTTTTGTTTAGCTCTAACAGAAACATTTTCTAATCCATAAACGCCTTCTTCATCTGCTTTTGCATAAGGTGGGAAAATCTTTTTAAACTTAAGATTATGCTGTTTACAAATTTTATTGGTATCTACAACAGCTTCTCTAAGAATTCCCCAATATGCCTTAACTTTAATAGCCATTTTAGCTTTATTATACAAATATGGTCTTAACCAAGGATGTCTTTCACCTAAATTGGGGTATTTTTCATTAAGAACATCCCTAATTTTATCAAGAATTGGTGATAATTTGATTATGTAGCCTTCAAAAATATAATAAATAATTGATAAAAGGAATGGAACATTTATCAAAACTAAGATAATAGCGACAATTATAAATAAATATCCAAAATCTTAATCTTAACAAGATTTTAGTAAGACTCCCATAGCTAATGAAATGGACAAGATAACAGTAGAATATCTATCAAGCATATTGAGTCTTTTGTTGCTATAGGGAGATACTTAGATTTAGTAAAATCCATAAAGGAACATGACAACTACTAGTAGTAAACCTTTAACTGTAACTTGATCTTCATAAAATGCTAAAATAATGACCATAAATTCTTTTTGGAATAATTTAACGAATTCCCATAGATAACTATTAAGTTAGTATTCAAGATAAAAGAAACCATAAATCAATTTGGTTTACTTAGTATTAATAGTTTTTCTATTTTTGAAAACTAAAAACATAAATAAAAATGGCAAGATTAAGACCCAAACAAGTAACATAGGCATAATGAATCTCAAGAGATAATATTAATGTCTATCACTATCATATCTATAAGCAACATCTCTTTACACATATTAATAACCACTAACAGTTCTAGAGGATGCTAGAACAATAAATCCTTCAACATAAGTAGGTTGTAAATATAGGAATTAATAAATTAAGGCTGTTGTGATAATATTAATCTTATAAGGAACCATTTTAATTATTACACCTATAAAGTAAACAATATAGAATCCTACTAAATATATGGATGGTTGGATGAATGCCCAAACCATTCTAAAGTATAAAACATCTAAATCAGACATTGTTACATAGAGACAATCCATAGCAGTTGTAGTACTCTCAGTTGGATTACCTCCAGTTTTTGCTGTTTATTTAATTGTACTTGGAATTGTTATTTAAAATGAAGCAATAAACTAAATAATTTAAAAGTAATTCGTAAGAACTTTCATTAATACAGCCAAATCACTTTCAGAGCTTTTTAAAAGCACTCCCCATTTATCAAGAGTATCTTCAATAATAAATTACATAGATGATAAATAACTTCCTTTTACTGCTAAAATCATTGAAATAAATGATGTAATTGATGTTGCTACCAAAACTATGTAATTTAATTACATTGTAGGTTCACATCTCGCACATTTATATGCTGATGTTTGAGTATATCTTTCATCATTAAATGTTTGATATAGATCACATGATTCACATAATGCTCCTATATGTCCTGTATAACAAGAAGGATTACCAGGTACCCAACCTCCATTACAATTAGTATCAAAATTCTCACAATATTAAGATTAATCATTATCATAATCAGGTCTCCAATATCCAGGTTTCAATTTTATGGATGATTGTTTTATAGCTATCATATAATCAGAATTAAATTATGAGCATAAAACAGCTCCTATAGTAACAGAATATTAATTTAATTTTGGACTGCATGGTATACAACGACCAAGTTAGTATACTTCTCCTTTTTAACATGGAAATGTTCTCACATTTAACATTAATTCATAACCCATATTGTATCCTATTATACTATAGTCTGGAGGATCTGCATATACAGGAATGGCCATTTTATCACATTTTACTAATTTATCAATTTATATTACTTTTTAATTCCAAATAATAATTCTTATCAAATTATGGGTCAAAAATTAATTACATATCATCAAGTGCATAGCCTTTTTAATTCTTGCTAAAAATCATTTCATTAGGAGATGTAAAATTATTTGTAAAAACTAGATTGTCAGAATAATTTTAAAAACTTTATATTCTACCAAATATATAACACTTATCACCCTCATCATCATTTACAATTGGTTCATAAAATCTATTCAAATTAATAACTCTAAATATCCATTCATAAGGAATATATTCTTGAGTTTCTTCTAAAAAATATTAATATGTATTAATTGATTATCCTGAAGGCAGAATAAGCAAATTAGTTTTCTCAGGATAATTACCAATTATATGATAATCTAAAGATATATTTTCCCTTATTCTTTCATTAACACTATCAATATTTCCATCTAAATTCAAATCACCACTTAGATTCCTATAAACTTAAACTTTTAGATAGGAACCATAATTCATAGAAATAGTTTATCTTCTTGAATTTTCCTGAATATTACTGGCCATCATAGAAGCATTATTATATTAAAATGTTATTAATAAGGAATCTACATCTGCTAATTCCTTATCAATTAAATAGAAAGCAGCTCCAACTTAAGCTCTATTATTTAGAAAAGATAAATTGTAAACATATAACGAAGTATCCAAATCTCCACCAAAATTTTTATAATAAATTGCAGCTCCAGCTAAACTAGCTAGATTATCTGAAAATACACATTCTTTTACTAAAACATTTAACCCTGATAAACTTATGCTTGATCCAACACTTGCTCTATTTGATGAAAATGTTGATCCAACTATAGAAACTGTATAATTTTCACTTAATTACAGTAATCTATTTTTTGAAAATTAATTAATGTTCAAATCCAAAATGTTTTAATTTGGTACAAAGGGACTCAACTCTATATCCTTTTATATTAATAAGCATCCATAATATCCTACTGTATTATCTTTACAATTTATCTGATTTAAAAATAGTTTGGTATCTGTTGAACTTCCTACATTTACTCCCAATATTTACACTAAACCTCCATAACATCTTTAACATCTATTCGAAGCAATACTTAACTTTTCAAAATTTAAAAAAGAATTACTAAATACACTTTTTATCTTGATTATAGAAGTACTTAATATTTATCCAGCCTCTAATGTCAAACTAAATATTAATCAATATTTATTACTTAAGCATATTCTAAAGAACACAATTTATCAAAGTTGTATTTGTTGTTGAATTAAATCTTTAAATAACTTAAACTGTATCAACATCAAAAGTAGTATATGAATAGACAGATTCATATTTATCATTTTCATTATATTAATTATAAGATTCTAAATATAAAAGACTATTCCAACTCTCTTCATCTTGATTTTAGTAATTCTAAAATTCTATGATGTACATAATTTAATCACAACTTTATTAACTCAAAGTTTAGCTTAGTCCTTTTTTAATAAATCCATCACATTTATTTACTATAGAATTGATTTCAATAGACCAATTATCAACAAATTGTGAATCTATTACTTGGATCTGATTTTAGACAGTTGGTGTCATTTAGAGATCTAAAAGTGGCATCAAAAAAAGAACATTCCTTATAAACTTACTTTAAGATATAAATATATCAGTCATAGCTATTGCTTTAATTATACTCACATATTTAAAATTAGTGAAAACAGAATTTCTAATAGTTAATTATCCTGTGTATTGATAATATATTCCTGAATTTTCAGTTAATTTCAATTAATCTAGAAGTGATAGATCTGGTAAATTTTAAATGAAGTTATCATAATTATTATCACCTACAATAATATTCTAAAATTCTATTAAGGGTTTATTGGTTGATTCTAAAAATGGATTACTTATAAATGAATAACCCAAAGATTGACAAAAGTAGAATTAAGAGTTTTTTAATAAGATACTTTGCTTAAATTTTGTAGGATAAATATAAATGCAACCTCCACTAATTCTTGCAGTGCAATTAGTCATAGTAACAGAATGTAATTCTAATTGCATTTCAGAACTATCAGAATTTATTGTTAAACACCCTCCTTATGAACCATCAGCTAATTATAAACTGCTTTAAATATTTTTAAAATGTGATTCCTTGATTGTCACAATTCCTTCTAATAGTTCTATAAAAATTCCAGCTGCAGACTAACCAAAAGATTCAATTATTTCCAGATTCTCAATGTAAATGAATTTACCTATAATATATAGATTTGATCCTTGAGATTAAATTTAAAAGAATAATTCTAAAAATATTAATAATAATTATATTACTTAGATTAATAGCAGTTGTTTATGTATCATTTGTTATTAATTGTTATTCTTCAAGATAATCCAACCATTAAAGATCTAAGATATTTGTTTTTTAAAAATAGCAATTAATAAGAAGAAATGAATCCACTTTGATCCACATCAATCCATTTGTTGATTTTGAAATACGATTGTAATTGAAATAAGAATCAACTAAATTTAATAATGAATTTGGAGAGATAATCAATAATAAAGCTGGAGTTTGGCTTGTTTATGAATCAGTTATTTGATGTAAATGATTTTAATTAAATTAAGCATTAGTTATGGTGATATTTTAATTTTGTTGTGAATCAATTGTAATTAAGCTCATTTCTTTTCCATTTAATGTTGAAGCAAGTTTATTATTATCGAAAAACAGATTTTTTAATAAGATGGTTTCCATTTACATGTATTATAAGTTTTGATAGGATTTTATTACAATTGCAGATCTATCAATAAAAAGATTATCATAAACTTCTATGTAATCCATTTCAATAGACCCTATAAATCCTTCTATGTAAATTAGATAAGAATTGAATTGATATTCATTCTATTTTCTAAAAGCACAATCAGCCGAATTAGGTAACAAATTATTAAAAGGATTGGTTACAAGAATAAAATTGTTGAGATTAGGATCTACTTCAAAATCTTCAGTTATAGTTTCATCATATTCATAAAGCATTTCATTATAAATGTATAGAAAATAATATACATTCACTATTTTAATAGATTACGATTATCCAATAAAGAAACTGGAGAAACCTTGAGTATTACTAATTGTTATATCATTTATTAAAACGTTTCCTATATTTTATAAAGAAATTAAGGCTGATGAAACTGAATCAATATTCATTTAACTTATAGATTAGACTTATAAATCTTAGATGATTAAATATTCAATCCATACATTAGAATTTATTCCAAAACTATTAAGAGGTGTAGAAATTACCATTAAACAATTAATATTTTAACAAATATTATTTCTAAATGTTATCTTTTTAAAATAAAATTATGATATGCTACTTTTCTGATCTGAATTATAAATTTAATTATTGGAAACTATGAGTTCAGAGTTATTAGCAAATAGAGAACGATAGCAAAAGAATTTTTCTATCATTAAAGTAGGACTAATTACATAATTTGATCCTTATTGATATAATGTTAAAACACTTTCTAAGTTTTTGGCTTCAAAAGATTTGACTAAAGCTAAATTAAAAATACTTCCATTTGTAACTGTACATAAAATTAATTTAAGATTATCTACTATTACGCTATAGCTTGTAGTAGTAATTATATCTGAAAAGATAGCTGTATTTGTGATGTTAGTATTTGTGAATTTGAGGGAATTAATTTACAAAATATTATTTGCTCCCAATTGATTTACTGTTATAAGAACATCATTAATTTCACTATTCTTTACATGAACATCTTCTATGATATATACTCCTTATTCAAGAAATTAATTGGTTGAAGTTTGATTAATAAAATTTTCATTTTTAAGATTTTCAAATTCGACTAATTACAATTTTATAAATATTGTATTTTATAAGACTATATTAAATGCACTCGCAACATTTTCTTTAAAGACTTTACAATTTGACATAGTAAACATAGTTTTTTACCCAAGAATTTCCAATCCAAATTCACCAGATGTTTTTTCTTTGAAAAAGACATTTTCAACTGAAACAGAAGAATAATCCTAAAGTATCATTCTACCAGTTTATTTGAATACAGAATTTTGACCATCTATTACAATTGATAATTTTTAAAGTGTAAAAACATTTCTTTAAAAACCTGATTTAATCTAAAAGGGTTTTTCAAAGACACAAACATTATTGAAATCAGAAATGAATTTAATATTGATATTAATATGAGTAACAGTTTCCTAATTGTATTTATTATATTGTTAAGCATTTTCTAATTTTTGTAAAAAAAGAGTAACAATTTTAGTTTTTTATTTTTTATAAATTTCCTATAGTTTAATCACATTAGGTTATGTAGTACTAGTTTCACCACAAGAAACAATTACAATAGTTTCTAATTTTTTTTCACATCCTTTGAAATTTGGATCTTTAGTACAAGTAATAGGAACACCAAAAAATGAGTCAATATAGATGTTTTAATTTTCATGTGGTTATTTGGTCTTATAACAAAAATTGCTATATTTGTTTAATTGATCAAAATCAGGATTAAAGAAAGGATTAACAAGATTAATTTCATCTTGAGTTCTTTCTCTACAAGCAATACAATTATTTGGACATTCATTACATTCACTATTATCAGCAGTTAATGATTGTTATGAAGATGGTATAGGACATTTTGCACAGTAGGCAGTATCATCTAAATATAAACATTCAGAATCTTTAGTTTTAAAGTCTGAAGGAACACAACTATCAGTACATCCTTTGCATTAGTTATTGTATAAGTAGAATCCTTCTTGACAAGTTGAACATAAGGGTTCATTAAGTTTTTCTTTTTTGATTAATTCTAAGTCTTTTAAAAATTAATTATAATCTATTCCAGCTAATTACAATTGTAAATAGGCAGCAATATTGTAACTATTAGTGTATTACCAACATTCATCACATCTAGAAGGACATGGTAAACATAGATTTGAAAAAATATCAGGATAGTATCCTTTTTCACATTTAAGACATTAGAATTACTCAACTGTATTAACAATATATGAAATGCATTGTAAACAATATTTAATCTTTTTTCTGCAATCTTAACTTTCATCACAACTATTTGTTACAGAGTTTGCTGTATTTAAATATTTCAATAATTAATAATCTTTGCATTCATAACAAAGCTATTTATTTTAATCCTCAGAAACACATTTTTAATTTGGATCTAAAATTTTTTCACATTTTCCTTCTTCAACCTTAAATCCAGATTTGCACTTATAACATTATTACTTTGCATCATAATCGATAACGATTTCAAAACCTAATTTATAAGTTTATAGAATGGTGGCGCCATCATCCTTTGAATATTGATAATAACTGATTTGACAATTACTATCTTCTTAATATTCACACCAAGATCCTTCATTTGATACAACATAACCTTACTAACATTAGGTACATCGTTGTTATTCATAGCCATCGACATATTCGACTTAACATCTTCTGCATCCATAATCACAATAAGAACATTTTTAGCCTTCTTCCATGAGCACCAAATAATTGTAATCATCTTGGATACATTCTAAGCATATAATAACTCCAGCGAATTCACATTTTGAACAACCTTCAAAACATGGGATACAATCATAATTATCATTAATGGCATAACCATCAAAACATTCATAACAATACTGACTAGAACATTATTTGCATTTATTAAATGGACAAGTATTGCATAGATCATTTTCAAAGTAATATCCATCTCCACAAAATATACCTTTATGAGTTACATCATTAGGATCTAAAAGAAGACTACATTAATTTCCTTCATCTCCTTCATCTCCTTCATCTCCATCATCACAAAATTTTAAACAACCCTCACATAATTCCGTTTCAAAACTTTTCTTTCCTCCTACTGACTAAGAAGGTACTTCAATTATATTATAAATTTGAGTTTCACTAATTTGAAGTTTTCTAAATGCTCCATTTTCATCTCCATCTGTAATTGCATAATTGTAAGTACACATTCTAAAATTCTACCAAGTCTCTGAGTTCTCTCTACAATCCATACATAAGTAAATCATTTTATCTATGAATGATTATGGACTATTTTAACTTATAATTATAATACCACTTCACACAATAACTCTCATTATTAAAGTTCAATTTAAAATAACCATATTCGCATCTTATTTTATTTTTTGCATCACATAACTAATATCCATCATCACATTTTTGTTGACATTGACTTCCTTCACTCTTACAACCTGTTTTATATTCATCCTATTAATTCTAACCTTTTTATATTTAATATTTACTGTTATTGATACCAGAAACAGAAGAAATGTTATTTCTAATTTCATTAAATTTTAAATTCTTTGTTTTATAATTGATAATCTCCAAAATTTATATAATTCATTTCATCTGTTTTTTCACACTTTCTATTCTATCTCCCAAACTTATTTTATTTTGATCATAATACTTGCTCTAGATTTAAGTAATATTTTTATTTAATCATTAACATTTAAATGGGTAATATTTGTTGCTCACAAGAACTTCTCAGTAATACTCTATATATGATTTAAGATAATACTACAGAAATTGAGATCAAACCCATAGATCTCAATCAAAATTATAAATAGTTAACCACATAAGACACAAGTAAACATTGTTCTTATTTTTAGAAAAGTCAACCTATCTGAAACTTAGTCCAGATCTCTTTATTCATATGAAAAGAGAAGACCTTTTCAGTCAATACTCTATAGGTAAAGCTCTCGGAGAAGGTACTAATAAAATTAAATGTTTGTAGGTGCTTATGGCTAAGTCTCATTGGTAACCAATAAAAAAACTGGTAATTATTTTTTCTCTATTGTTATAGGAATTGTTAGAGCAATGAAAGCAATCAAAAAAGATTGTTTATTCGAAGAAGAAGAATCAAAATTATTTTAAGAGATGCACATCTTAAAGGATCTTGATCATCCAAATATTGTTAAGCTTTAAGAATTATTCTAAGATGAAAAGTGCTATTATTTGATTACTGAGTATTTAACTCCCTCATTTTTAGATTTCTTAATGGTGGCGAATTGTTTGATAGAATATAAAAAGCAAAAACCTTTTGCGAAAGAGATGCAGCCAATATTATGAAGCAAATATTATCAGCTGTAGCTTATTGTCATTCCAAATAAATTGTACATAGAGATCTCAAACCTGAAAATATAATCTTTACTTCTACAGATGAAGATGCATAACTTAAAATAATTGACTTCGGCACTTCTAGGAGATTTGACAATCACAAAAATATGACCAAAAGACTCGGGACTGTAAATTATTAATCAAATCATAGCCATATTATATTGCTCCTGAAGTACTTATGAAAAAATACAATGAAAAATGTGATGTCTGGTCATGTGGTGTAATTCTATACATTCTTTTGGCAGGTTATCCTCCATTTTATGGTAAAAAGGATGTTGATATTTACCAAAAGATAGTGAAAGCTAATGTGCCATTTTATTGTATGTCAAAATTAAATTAATGTTTTAGCTGAAGAATGGACTAAGATTAGTGATTAAGCAAAATAATTAATTTTAAAAATGCTTTGTAAAGATGTAGGCTAAAGAATTAGTGCATAAGAAGCATTGGCTGATCCTTGGATGTTAGAACATAACCAAACTAATTTAGTTGATCAGTAGTTTTTAAAAAATCTATCAGAATTCAGTGCTAAAAGTAAATTAAAATAAGCTCTACTTACATTCATGGCATGTTAAATGATTTAGCAGCATGAAGTGGAGGAGTTACAAAAATTATTTAAAGAATTAGATACTAATAGTGATGGGACATTATCAAAAGATGAACTTAAAAAAGCATTTTAAGATAAGCTTATAAATAAAGATTACTTAGTTGAATCAATAGAAGATAAAATCGAAAATCTAATTTAGTAGATTGACATAAATCAATCTGGTAAAATAGATTACACAGAATTTATAATCGCATGTTTATAGCAATAATAATTAATAACACAAGATAAAATCAAATAATCATTTAAAATATTAGATATTGTATTATTTTATAATTATTTCATAGGATGGGGATAATTTTATATCAAAAGGAGAATTTTAAAGAGCAATGGAAGGAGTAGATGATGTTATATGGAGTGAATTTTTAGAAGAATGCGATGAAGATAAAGACGGTAAAATTTCGGAAGCAGAATTTATTTAAATAATTCTTAAAAAAATATGATTATTATTTTGATACTAGTTTTTTTCTGAATTAAATTAATTATATATTTCTATTACATATATATCAGATCTCAATATGAAGAGGTTCTTTTAAGAACTTTTGTAGAGTTTCCAATCCTGCATTTGTATCAAAGATTGTTTCCTCCATAAAATTTTCATCTGTTTACTATTATTGCCAATATTCTATATTCAGTTTTACTTAATCAACACAAGTTTTTTGGATGTTTTCACTTTAAATATAATAAGTAATTACTTTTTTAAAATTGTAGAAAAGGCCTCAAACATTGGTAAAACAATTGCCTTTAAGAAACCTTCTTGTGATTTGGAAACATTCTACTTTCTATCACACATTGGTGAAATTGGTACTTTAAGGTACTATTCTAAATCTCCTTAGAGAAAGAATTCTTCAACTATTCTTCTACTCCATAATTTATGTAATTTCAATTCCTTTGCTCCATGACCAACATCTAAATTATTGTAATTAATAAATATTACCTGCACATTTAATTCCTATAGACATAATTAATTGTTAATCAATAGCAGGAGATTCATTAACATTTAAATAATTTTAAAATTTATTCATCAATTAAAAGTGTCTGGTTAGATCAGTATCAAGAATTAGATTTAAACAATATTTTCTAAATCCTTTGATTTCATTTTAACTTAAATTTTCAGTTATATTGCATTTACTTTAAGTAAGAACTTAAAATAATAAAAATGAATGATAATTTTCCAAAACACTTTGATCATTAAACAATAATGCTAATCTACATCTATTTGCTGTCATAAATCCATTATTTAATCCTGGATGTCCTATATCATGTGCTAATGAAGAAATCAACAAACAAGTAGCTTAAAAATCATCAATTAAAGTGCATAATCCATTTTATAAGAAAAATGCTGTTGAATTTGCAACATCTATTGCATGCATTGAATTATGATAAAAATTATTTTGATATAAAGATTCTATTTTGACACTAAAATCTCCAAGTATTTCTAGATTAGTTATTTTCAATGTTTATATCACTTTGAATATTTTAAATAAATTTATTGACCCTTCAATAAATAGCATTCTTTATGATTAATCTAAATTATTTAAAGTAGAATCTGGTTATAAGTAATTAATATTAAAATCTATTAAAGTTTTTTCAGCAATGTCATCCATATCATCCTTTATATCATCAATATATTAAAATGAAGCTTCTCTTTAAGTAAAATGTGAAAGTATGAATCTAAAAATTAATATAAACTTACTTTTTAGCATCTTAACTAAATTAATCTTCTTTTTATGTTTATTAAATACTATTATTACTATTTTAACAGTCTAATTATCGATGACTTCTTAAAAATTTCGGTAACCAAATATTATCTTTTTTTCCTGTCAATAAATTTAAAAGATCATCAATTTCATCAATAGTAATAACATTATCTCCCTCAACTATATCTTAGTCAGAGTGAGATTAATATTAATCAAATTATAAGTTCTTTCCTTTTAAATCTGAATTTTATGAAAGAGTTCTACTTGCTCTTCTTTTAAAGTTCTCCAATTTTGGAGTTGATTATTGATAATTTTAATTAGTAACTTCATCAACTTCATCTTTACCAAATACTTCTGTTATTGAAACCATCGATTATAATTTTTCTTATTATTGACTAACATTTTTTAACATCTGATTTTTAATTGTGCATTACTGTTTAAATTTAATTAATTTTAATTTGTTCACTAAATCATTAGCCCTTGATTATAGTTACATCTAAGATTTTGAATCTATTTCTTCTTAATATTTATTAATTTATTATTGTTACTACTACTTCATTTGATCCAATTCTTAATTAAATTGCTTGATTTTATTTGATGTTTCATTTAACAGTCTTTATTATCGTAATTATTTTGATAAAATAAAAACAGATTAAACTGTTATCAATTTTATTGTACTTAAAAAATGCTCTCCCCATAGGCATTAAAATATTAAAACACCACTTATTCCAACTACTTAATGCATATTATGTAATTTCAAGGAATGTCGGTTGTAGATATATTAATGGATTAATATAAAAAAAGTAAATTAGTCAAGTACTTATTCTGACCTTTTTTATACACTAAAAAATATTAAAAGAATCTTACTTGTCTATAGTTAATGTAGTTATTAAACTATTTATCAGTAAAATTACTAAACCTAAATTCAGAAGAGATTCGGGAGTTTAAGTAGTTCTAAAAATTTTTTAACAAATGTTTTACTTTTTCTTCAGATATTGAAATATAATCCAATAGGTCTCTATAATTTTAATTGTCAATTCTTAGCTGTATTGACTCAAATCAGTATTCTAAAGATTTCCAATGACATTCCAAATTATGTTGCCAAATATTATTAAGCAAATTACAATTGTTTATTCTTGTTTTGATGTTTAAGTATTAATATAATGTGTTTAAAATACTTCTGATACTTTCATCTTTATCTAATCATTCGATAGCACATTAACAGATTAGTTATTCATTTTTTTATAATATTTTATATCAATCAAAATCTCATAAAAATTAATATATCAAACCAAAAAACTATGGTATTTAAATTAAATATTAAAATTTGAATGTTTCAAAAGCTCATTGTTTTTCTTTAAAAGACTCTCTTGTTGAAATAATCAAATTTTTTATAAATTTTTTAATTATGCTTAAAATTCTACACTTTAGCAAGCTCTCATTCAGGTTTATAAATAAAAGTATAGCATGCTTTTCTTAACCCTTTATATAAAAAGATTATCAATTCATTAGTGATGATGAATCTGATTATGAATTTAAGGCTGCTTTAGTAAATGATGAAACATATTAACATTTTGCAAATGCTTAAACAATTGAAGAAGTCATTCAAGTTTATCAAGAAAACAATTTAACTCCAGAATAGATTCATTTCCCTGTTTTTTAAATTAGTACCCTTCTTTAAAAGAACTCATTAGAATAAAATGAACTTCTTAATCAATTCATTACAGAAAATGTCTTACCTAATTTCGATAAATTGAAGCCTTCACAAATTATAACAGTAATGTTATTGTTGTAAAAGTTGTAAAATAAATAATATAATTCCTAAATAAAGAAGCATTTAGAGTAGAATTTACAAAATTATAATTCAAAATAATTGCCACACATATTTTATTTCTATTCTAAGTAAGGTTGGAGGATGTTCCATATAGGTAAGATCTTAAAAAATCAACTAAGAACTGTTAAATTTAATATAGTTGGACTTTGTTAAATTATCAGAGCTTGTTATATAGAATCAAGCCAATTAAAATCTATTTTTCATTCAGATTTAGCATTAAAAGCTAGTAGATTATTAATAAGTATGGTTGATGATATGTCGATACAATAATAAATAGCAGTATTTAATTAATTAGCAAAAATGAAATTACATTTAAGTACATCATATAAATAATTACCTTAATTACTATATAAGTTGGCTGAAATATTTGTCGAAAATATAGGAAAGATTAATTTACATTCTAAATTAAAATTATTACAATCTTATTAAAGTTTAACTGATACTTTTCCAAATACTCTTTTTGAAGAAATATATAACTCAATTGAAATAGATTCTTTGAGTAGTCAAAATAAATTAAGATTCTATTTAAATCTAAAAGAACAGAGATCTTTCAATCAACCTAAACCAGAAAAGATGTAATAAATTCTCAATAATATTAAATTTGATGAAGTTAATGAAAACAATCTCTTGTTAGAATTTATAAATTTAGAGTTTGGAAAACAAAATAAAGCTTTAATCAATTCTATAATATAAAGGTTGAATAATGCTTAGAATTTGAATTCAAAATAAAAAATATAACTCATATAAGCAATTATTAAACAAAATAGGGTTTCAGAATTTTTGGATTAGATAAAAATCAGTAGTGATCATCTTCCTAGATTAATAGATTCAGCTTATTATTGTCATAGGTATATGAATGATTTACCAACTTTGGAACAAAAAGAAAATATAAGAGCATCTACAGAATAATTGATGCTCAAATTAGAACAACTTGAAAGCAAAAGTAAATTATCAATAAGCCATTATATTTTAAAATTGGAACCATATCATGGGGATCCTTTTTATGAGTTTATTAATAAGGAAATAAAATTAGACGAATTACCTGAAAAAGACTTTATTCATTTTCTTTTAAGGTTAAATAGTCAGATTCATTTTAATCATGAATTAAAATCAAAAAGTGAAATCATGAAACCTTCACTTGATTAATTATAAAGTATAATAAATAATATTTCAAATATTGATTATTTAAATGATAAGTTGGTTAAATAAATATCTAAATGGCTTTTCGATATTGCAAATAAGAGTATTAATGATGGAACATTTGACGTAAATTAAATATTAAATTTAATCTTTAAAATAGTTTTGTATTGTCCAAAATATACTTTACATACCACAAGAGGAACTGTTTAATAATAAATAAGAGATTTATTAAATTTTATATCAACATAAATTTCTTAATATTAAGGAAAGTTAGAGGTAGATTTACAATTATTTTTTCGTTTTAGTAATACTCTATCTAATTTGGAAGTAAAAACAAACTTAATCTAAATCATATGTTAGTTTCTCTGTATATAAGCAGATGATTTAGATGATTTTCAAAAGATTTAAGTTGCATAATTAATAGTAGATTTTACACCAAATAATTATGATAAATTATCTGTTATTAATTCGTACTTAGTTAAGATTTTAAAATTAAAATTGGATAAGTTTCTTTATATATTAATTAGTACTAAAATATTACTTTATTAATTAAAATTTAAAGAAAAACTTAATTGTGTAGTAGACGTAAATGTATTAGAATAATCAATAAGTTAATTAAAGACTGAATTGATTCAATTTAATTTTTCTTTGCATAAAAAAGAATCTTATTAAGAGGGATTAATGATTCTGTTAGATTATGATGCTTGGAGAATGAAGTACTAAAAAGAAGAAGATGATGGCTTGTCAGATTTTATAAAATTACATTTTTAAAATCTTAATGAATAATTGAATATGAAGAACATGAGACCAGGTCTAAAAAAAGTAATAAGAATTATAAATTAATGTGAAAATAGATATTAATTTATAAAAATATATGAAGATTTATTTTAATAGATGTTTTCAAAATGTAAATAAATTAGAAATTAAGAAATTCCACATATTTAAGCATGTTTAGATTATTTAGAATTTGCAAAGAAATTAAAATTATCAAATAAAGAAATAATCAATTTTCTTATTGATTAAATATAAGATTAAGATCAGAATTTAAAATCTACACAAATAGTTTCAATTGTTTAAAAATTTGCTGAAATGAAAATTTATACAAAGCCTCTGTATGATAATCTAAGCAACATAATTATAAAAAATTCTAGATACTACACCTTAGTAGAATTATTAGATATAATGAATTCATTTGCTAAGCTTGGATACTTTAATTAGGAATTAATTGTAAATATATTGGAACATATATAAGAAGAATTGAAAATTCTAGATAATGGAATTGTTAGCGTTTATAGTCTTTGGAGTATATTAACAAATTTTTATTATTTTATGAAAGAATTTAATTAGAATCTTTTTTAGAGATATGAAAGTACCATTATGCATTTGATGAAGAAGTAAGAATTTGACTTATAAATAATGGTAGAGTTTCTTCGTTTGTTGATTCGGATAAGATTTAAAAAGTACCTATAATAGTCCGTCAATTTATGGATATTTATAATCTGATAGAGTTCAGTGGATATTTGAATCTACGTAAACAATTTAATTAATAATTGAAGAATTAAATATTTTATAATAAGAACAGGCAAAATAAATTGTTGAAAGAGGAAAAGCTAGAGTTTAGTAAAATTTAATTGCAAATCAGAAATCAACTTAATAATTCCGTTCATTGATGAAATTCCTAGATAAGAAATAGATAGAGTATACAATGAATTATTGTTTTGACTCTTAATGTGTAGATTTTTATATTGAGTCAAAAAGAATGATAATATCAGTGGATAATTCTTTATTTGTAACACATGATATGGTAATCATATGATTTATATCTAGCAATAATATACAGGGTTTCATTATATAAATGAATGGATTTTGGAAGGTGTGTCAAAAAAATATGAATTGAAAAATATTAGAATAAAGGCTTGGTAATGGTTATAAATGAGTGATGAATAGAAAACAAAGATTTTGTAATTGTGATATATATAAAAGTTTAAAATGTATTTATTTGCATTTTTTGTTTTGTTTAATAATATAAGTGATTAAGTAAGAACAGAGTATAAAGAATAATATAATTTCATTAATTAGATTCCCATCATTTCAAGCATTCCTTTATAGTTTTCTTTTTGTTATCTACAATTTAAGTAACTTTTTCTTTTTAATGAAAAAAGCATATCATGATTTCTTCATCAAATTTCACTCTGTTCTCAACCATAGTTTTATCTGAATAAATTCTTTGATAATTTCCTTCATCAATGTCACCATATGATTTTTCAATAAAAACTAAGTGAAAGGAATTAAGACCTAATCCAGGTTTGCTCATTTATATTAATCAAGTTTATTTATTAAAATATAAACAAAAATAGAATCTATTTTCAGTTTTCTAAAGCTAAATAACAATGTGATTATATATTTAAACTCTAGTGGATTAATATATAAAGAATTTCTTCTCAGTAATTCCTAATTATTATAATTAAAAAAGCAAAACTGTTTTAAATGGCAGAATTGCAAATTGAGCATTACAACATTGAGCGCCTTTTGACAGAATTGGAGTATGAATTTGATTAAATAAAAAAGATTAAATGGTGAGCCATTAGACAAAGTTGCAGAAATTTGGAATGCATTTATAAAGTGGAGTAAAATGAACTTTGATGTTGAGAGGACAATAAATATTCCACATTTAGGTAAGGGATATATTACAAATTTATTAGGTAACTTTGCATTTAGATTACCACATTTATAGGGAGAAGAGATAGCATTAGATAAAGAGAAAAGTGTTCTATTTTATCCAAACGAGAATTTTTTGAATAGCTCAAATCTACGATATAGAGTATATATTGAAATATGATTACGAAATAGGGAGAAATAGAAACACCAACTCCAACAATAAAAATCAGTTATCATTAAATTGCTAAATTATGTGGAGGAATAGAGACTTAAGTATAGCAGACTTAAAAAGTTAATGATAAATCTATTGTATCTAATAAGTAGATGGGAGTGGATAGATCATTAATTTAAGCAATTGTAGAGGGAGTATTCTAATCTTTAATTTAAAAAATAAAAACAAAAACATAAGTGGAGGTTGATTTAGGATATTTTGGAAAATTTTTAAGATTTGATTCCACATTTACATTTGAACCACTTTTAAAATCAAAAGTTCAATCATAAATCAAATAAGGATCATAAACAAAAAAGACTGTTAGAAATTTGATTGAATAATCAAAGCATGCCATAACATTATAAACAAGGGGGCAAATATCTAATTTCTAAATGGTTAAGAATTAAATCTAATAATAATAATAAGAAAGTAAATTATGAATTCTAATTGATAGTCATGTAATAGTCAATAGAGTAGAGTTAATTGTTGCAATCAAAAAAAGCAGCCTTTGAGATTTTTAATGAAAACTCTTAATAAAAAATGATGTAGACTCCAACAAGGAGAATAGGAAAATTAGAACAGTATAAAAAATAAAAAATTTAATTAGTATTCCTATAATGCCTGAGATGCTTGGAGCAGGTACAGATCCATTAGCTAAAAATTAAGATTTTTCTAAATTAGTTGAGAATCCTGCAGCTTTGATGACTTAATAATTTATAAAACCATAGAATGCAAAGATTCGTTTCCCTCCAATTTTAGATAAATTTGCTAGAACATTGGCAGCTCCAATATCAGGGATGAAATATAATAGTAGTGTTGTGGGAAGAATAGCATCTAATTATAATCCTGGAGCAAAGAGATTCTATTTTGATAGTGAATCTAAAGGTGTAAGAATATTGAAAGCATTTGAATCGAAAGTGAATTTCACAGCAAATCCAGAATTATTATAGAAGCCTGCATCTTTGGAAGAAGAATTATTATATGTAACAGGGAAATTAAGAACAAAAGAATTGAAGGAGAAATTGGAATCTAAGAATAATTGTTATGCAAGATATTAAGCTTATATTAATAATGAAATACCATAAGAATTTATAGCAGAGATTAAATAATAATGGGTTTAAGACATTATTGAGCTGTTACCAAGAGATTTAAAGAAATTAGGAGATTAACTAAGTTAAAAGTATGTTGAAGAAATGATGAATGAAATAACACACGATTACAATTAAAGTATGAAAAAAGCAATTTTGGATTATGTTCTTAAAGATGAAGAAGAGAGATTGAGAATAGGAATAGTAGAGATTATTGATGAAATTCCAGAATATGGATCTGCTGTTTATAAAGGTATAGAACCTAGTGAGGAATGGAAAAAGAAAGTTAATGAAGCTCGTGATGCTATGGTTTAGAACTTAGTAATCAATAGTAATACTACACTGTAATTGTTGAAGAGTTGGTATGCTAAATATTCAAAAATGAATTTCTTAGTTTTATCATCTGCTAAAGATTAACCTATGAACATTAATTATTTTACTAAAGTTTAATAGGATCGTATTTAAGAAGTTAAAAATCATTTATAGAATGAATGGCATAAAGAGGTAGCAGATCTCTATTAAAAAGAATTACATGTTGCAAATAGAAATAAAAGACATGCTATGTTATTCTTTGAAAGTACTGCTACTTTAATGAGTAATTTATTGAGAACTTAAATCAATGAAAGTTTAATTTCATATAGAAATTTCTTTAAAAGATTTGATAAGAAGCTTTTAAGAACACCTTAATAAGTTATTGCTGAAGAAGATGATTTTGATAAACCTATTGAAGATGTTTTTCTTACTGTTAAATTAAAACATGATGGAAATAAAATTGAATTCGCTGATCATCTTCAAATGAGCATCAAAAATGGAATTTTAAAATTAATTGATGATATTTACAAATGTTCAGAGAATTTTTAAAGACCTGAAAATACAATATCAAGAAGTGAAAAAACATCGCTTTGGAAGATTCCAGAAGATGATGATACATTTGTTTCAACTTATAAGACAATCAATGAGATTTTAGATATAAATTTGAAAAATGTTGAAAGCACTTTAGAGATTTATGAGAAATATTCATATCTCTTAAGAGAGACAGAGAAAGCTACTTAATGGACAAGTGTTGCAAGAACAAGAAATGAATTTATTCAAGCATTCAATAATTATTCATAACTATATGAATAAGTAAATGAAGCTATACCATTTTTTGTACGTGTAAATATGATTTTGGTTGATGGATGTGAAGTTAAAAGAAAGTATTTAGACATCATATAAGAAATTATTTAATTGTTGGAAAGAAATATTCATGATTACATTATGACAACTAATTAAAGAATCAGCAAAGAAATTCAAGCACTTCAAGATAATATTTAAGGTAGAGCTGATACAACTGAAAGATTGGTTGAATTAGAAGCAGCTTTAGAGAAGATTAGGAAAACAGAAAATAAGAAAGTCTAAAATGATTTCATAGATTTGTAAAAATGGTTGTATTAGTTGTATACAACTAATTATTAAATTAATGAAGATGATTTAATTTAAATTTCTAATACTTCTAGATTAGTACATTCCTTAATGCTTAAGGTTGATTAAGAAGAAATCCGTATTTAGAAGGATAGAGATTAATTAGAATAATTTATTAGAGAAAGAAGAGAGAAATTTTAAAATAATCTTGATGAAATCACTTAAAGTATTAATAGATTGAAAACATCATATACTTCTGCTTATTAAGTAAAAGAAGCTAATGATATTGTTGATAATCATGTTAAGAAATTATAAGAATATGTAGCTGAAATGTAGGATATTTAAATGAGAGAAGAATAATTGGGTTGGTAACCTACAGAGTTTGTTAAATTATAAGATGCTTAAAGTAGTATTAAGCCTTATGAGGAATTATGGCATTAATTAAGAGATTGGGAATAAAATTCGACTAATTGGACAAAAGCTAAGTTTATATTTAGATTAGATGCAGAAAATATTGAAAAAGATGTTAAAACAATGTTAACTTAAGCTAAGAAATTGCAATATCAATTTCCAAAAAATGTTACGCCTTCAGGAACAATGACTTTGATCAAATATTTAACAGATAAAATAAATGACTTTTAAGTATAATTACCATTGGTTAGAGTATTCTCTAATCCAGGTATGAAAGAAAGACATTGGGAAGAGATATCTTAAATAATGGGATTTCCAGTTAGACCAGATAAAGAATAATAACTGTCTAAATTAATTGAATTAGATTTGAAATAACATTTTCTTAAATTTGAAGAAATATCTGATTCTGCTACTAAAGAATATAATTTAGAAAAGATTTTGAATAAAATGCAAGAAGATTGGGATAATGTAATTACTGAGCTTAAACCATGGAAAGATACTGGTACATTTATTGTTTCAGGAGCATCAAATGATGAAGTATAAACTTTATTGGATGATTAAATTGTAAAGACAATTACAATGAAAGGTTCTCCATATGCAAGAAGTTTTGAAAGTAGAATAGCTGAATGGGAAGCATTTCTATATTATACATAATCATTATTTGATTATTGGTTAAAAGTACAAGGTGTTTGGATGTATTTGGAACCAGTATTTACAAGTCCAGATATATTAAAACATCTTGCAATGGAAGGAACTAGATTTAAGGAAGTTGATGCTAGTTGGAAATCTATTATGAATAAAGTGAATTCAAATCCTAAAGTTATCGAATATACAAAAAATAGAAAAATGTTAGATATATTGAAAGAATGTCATACATCATTAGAAGTGTGTTAGAAAGGATTAAATTCTTATTTGGAAGGTAAAAGAACTAATTTCCCAAGATTTTATTTTCTCTCAAATGATGAGTTATTGGAAATTCTATCAGAAACAAAAGATCCCTAAAGAGTGTAACCACACTTAAAGAAATGTTTTGAAGGTATTTAGAAATTAAAAATTGATGGAGAAAAAAAGATTCATGGAATGTATTCATCAGAATAAGAATATGTATAATTTTAGAATATTGTGGATACAAATGCAGCAAGAGGAAATGTTGATGAATGGTTAGTAGAAGTAGAAAAAAGAATGATTGAGAGTATTCATTA